TACAGAAACTCTATTACACAGATCTCCATAAAGTACTGTTACTATGTCGGGGGAGGATTTGCTGAAAGTTATTATATATACACACTGCAATAGTAACAGTCACTTACTGGTGTTTCCTGCAACTGTGAATGCAAATAGCGCTGCGACCGTTTCACAACAGAAACATCAGATCCCATGAATGGAATTGAATACTGTTTGAACTCCTGACTGTAGAACACAAGTCCTCTGCAAATGGAAAAAACATTCACAAAAAGTGTTCAAGTCTTCACCAAATGGAAAGAAACAAACCATAACAGTGCTAATATTACTGACTTTCCCTCAAGCACTTTTAAAACATGATCTCTTTGCTGAAAGCAAATCAAATCAATGATTCAGATTTATCCTTGGCTCAATTCATAATTCCTTGAACTACAGCCAGGATGGATTTGATAATCAAAATAAATAAGATTCTCACATTTATTTTTCCTGTTCTGCTGATCACTTCTGAAATGGAGGTAAGGAAGTTGCCATGTCTCTACAAGTCTCCCAGAATAAGTTAGCTGAGACCCAGAAAATGTTAACATGTTTTTTTACAATCAAATATGAGTTCAGACCCTTCAGTTCTACCACACAAACATGTATGTGTGCAGATTTTTTAAAAGTTCTCTCTATATATATATCTTTTTAATATTTAGTAATATGTTAATAATCTATATCATAAATACTGGAACTGTTAGAAAACAATCTGTTTCACATCGTGAACTTCTTATACCTTCTTTTAAGTTTTGCACCAACTACTGGAACAGGGGAATATCCGATCTTCTTTCGAAGTGCCTTCAGGTTGTCTTGATCTGCAAGGCCGTAAACAGCTGACTTCCAGGTCCCATCATGTATGCAAGCACCCTGATAAAGGCCAAGGAACAGTAATTAGTTCAGTAGAGGTTTCAGATATTACTTTAATAATGACCTTGAAATCATTACGTAGTATTAGAAAATTATTATGTGTATGCATTATAATTACATGCACTATGAAAACAACCCAAACACAAAAAGACAGCCAAACACTTTGCCATTTTCTGGCAACACACATGCACCCATTACAGCTTATTTGTGTACGAATCCTTCCCAAGTCTCTGTGCAAATAAATCAACAACAAATACTATTATTTCTTGAAACTGCTTAGTAGAACAAATTTTAGGTAGAGAGCAAGCCCATTGAAACAAATGTTACAAAAGGGTGCTTCCTTAGGATACTTTTATTAGCTTCTAAAGAAAAAAGTTCTTAGACTTGTAAGCAGAGAACTGCCATAGCTCATGTCTTGATGTGCACTAATGCAACAACAGCTACTCATATTAGCTATGCCAATGTTGCTCCAAATACCCCTGAGTTTCCACAAGGGTATAAACCAACTAACCTCAGGTCCAGTTTTCACTGACAGGAAACTTTCAACAGCAGTTAAGGTTCCTGTAAGAGAGGAGAAAACATGAAAGGTAATAATTGGAACATACAGTCATTTCTGTTCACACACCTAGAATATACTCTGGTAGCCTTAAATGGTAGACCAGCAACATCACAAGTTGAAGAGTTACATTGTTATCTCAAAGTAAAATAAACTTTAGGATCTAAAGCTATTTTAGTTAGAAAATATAAAATTTCATACATAAAGTACCTCAGTCACTTCACTTCAGACAATTAATATTGTCATCGGTCATTAAATGCTAGTTGCTTTATCTAATTAATAAAATTGTGTAAATAATAAATGAAAAAAGCAAAAGAATATTTGAAGGCAGAATTAGTTTTCCTCCAGGTTTTGAGATGATGTAGGCTGTGAAAACCTAGATGAACCAATGGGAGTGTGGTAAATGTTACTACAAAAAAAAAAACAACTAAATTTAAAAAAAGAAGAAAAATCACACAACATATCCTAAACTAAAGGTTTCTTAGCTGTGATAAACAGCAAAACAACAACTCCATATTTTGTTAAGCTCTACTTTGCTCACCTCCTTCTGAGATTAAAAGAGATAATTTAAATCTAACAGGCAACTGGATAGACAGGTGCTAAAACCAGAAAGTCAAAACAGGATGAGCTAAAAGACATCTTTATTCAAAAAGCATCAAATTTATTCACGCATGCAATTATAAGACTGTGAGCACTCCAGATACTCATTTCCACACCTCTTCCTTCTTCTCTCCCCCAATCAGGTTCTTCTACAGATTAAACTGAAAGTTGATGATACACTCCAATATAAAGCACGTAATAGCAATTTTAATAGTAATGAAAGTAGAACATTTGGACACTCCTACTGGCCCTTCCAACTGAAAGTCTGAGCCAACAAACAAAGTATCCTCATTTGGGATTAGGATCAAGTACTGTCTGCATAGAGTTAAATCATCTCACACCTTTTCTCAAACATATTTACTCTCTGAGTCCAGGTGCTCTTGACAAAAAAGATATTAGCAGTGCTACCTACTTAGGTCCATATGACAACTACGCAGTGCTGGCAGTAGAGAAACAAAACTTAGGAAACCTGATTACTCACAGATTTGCAATCCCTTCCCCATGTGCACTGTGCCTTCCCACCTCATCCTTACAGCATTCTCACTGCACAAGTGGCAGAGAGCTGAGGATCATCTATGGGTGGATGCCCACACACTCGCAGAGCAGCCCATTCCTGATAGCTGAGGCTCCTGTTCTCTCTGTAAGCAACATGACCTTGAATCCTTCCTCTCCCTTATCACTAATTTCCTTGACTGTAGTGGGAATACGATTTACATTTTATTTTTTATCTATCTACCAAAGTTGAAAACAGTTAACTGGTAAAGGTAGGCAAAAAGCAGATTGAAAGACTTTCCACATAAGCACTGCTGTTTTACCATAATCTGCATGTCTTTTTCAGCCTACAGTCACACTAAATAAATCACCTTTCAAGTTGTCTCTGGTGTACAGCACTCCCATATCAGCTGGTATGGAGTCAAAGCCACAGCTTCCAATGACATACACTTTCTTCTCTGCAGCTTTTTCATTGTATTTCAGGTACATTCCTTCCAGAAACTAAAACACAAGCAGAATAAATACTTTAAGTAGAACCCCAAATTTGGCAATACCCAGTATTAACCACCAGCACTTTACTCTCATATCGTAGCACCCCACAGACTTCACATTATTCACAAGTATCTTTACAACAGATGCACGTTATTCCTGTTTTATGGTATGAAAATGTTGCAGCAGTGCAAGAAGAAAATGATTGATCCAAAATTCATGCAGGGAATCGTAAGTAAGATTTAAAGCAGAATTCCAACATTTTGGAATTACTGAGAATAAGGTCCTGAGAAGCTCTTATCTAACAGTGATTAAACAAATAATACACATAAACATATCCTAAAAAAATCAATGCACCTTAAAGCTGCACACTGGGAGGCAGAATTTGCCCACATATTCACAGACACAGAAACATGGAACACAACAAATGCTTTACTAGATCCACAGATCTAGCTAACACAGAGTAGCATTTTTCCAAGCTCACATACCTGGGGCTCTCCACTGATGTCAATGCAGCTTGCACCATTTTCCACACAAGCTTTCACTACAGGCTCTCCAAAAAATCTATACTAAAGGAGGGAAAAAAACACCACAGGTAACAAAATAAAGCCCACACAACTCACCCCGCTTGTTTTGTCTAAAGTATGTGTAGCTACAACAGAAGTAAACTCAGGTATTGATTTTGCTAAGTGGGGCAAATGTAATAATATTGTCTTGGTGGGGGGAAGGGGGCAGGAAGAGCAGAACAAACTGCATCACTGATAACTGTTATTCCTCCTGAGTTAAGATAAGATCGCCAGAGCCAACTGCACGTATGTTACCTTGGTCTATGCTTTCTGCATCCATGTTATCTGTATGTTATCTGCATACTCTGCGGCTAACAGCTTTCGCAGAGCTGGCCATTACCCAGCCACCAGGCTTCGTACTTTGATCTGCTCAGAGCGAGTTGGTGACATTGTCACTCCAAAGTTTAAAGCGGCCAAGAACTTACACCACAACTCCACGTGCTTCTTCCCTCTCCAGAGCCAGGCTGGATGTGGCTCTGGGCAGCCTGGTCCGGTGCTTGGCGACCCCGCACATAGCAGGGGGGTTGAAACTAGATGATCACTGTGGTCCTTTTCAACCCAGGCCGTTCTATGTTTCTATGATCCCTCAGCGTTACTTCCAACCCGAACACCACTTACATCACCTAGCATAAACCAGAACTCCTCCCTGGCTTACAACGGCGCCTTTGAACGACGAAAGGAATAAAACCGAACTCTTCAGCGAGAGCTTTCCACGCGTTACAACACCCCAAAGGCTGGCGGGTCACCGTGGCACGGCAGATCCCAGCACTCACCGGGCCCACGCAGTTGAGCACTACCCGGGTCTGCTTCGCCATGGCGGCCAGCGAGGCCGGGTCGCCCACATCGCACAGCAGCACGCCGACCTCCGGACCCAGCGCCGCTTTCCCTGCGTACGGAGACCGCCGTCACATCCCCCGGTCGCCGGCCCGGCCGCCGCCCCCCGCCCCGCTTCCCCCCGCGCCACACGGCCGCGGTCCGTACCCAGCCGCTCGGCCGCCCGCTCCAGCACCTCCTGCAGCTTGTTCCGGTTGCGCCCGGCCACGGCCCAGCGCAGGGGGCCGCGCAGCTCCCCGCCGCTCGCCGCCCGCGCCACCTCCTCCACCACGAACTGGCCGGTGAAGCCGCTGGCCCCGAACACCACCAGCTCGTAAAGCCGCTCGGGCGCCTCCCCGCTGCCGGCCGCCATGGCGAGGCGATGAGACGAGACGAGACGAGACGGGACGCAACGACGCGCCGCACTGCCGTTCGGCGCCTGGCAGCGGCCGGCACCGCGCGGCCCCGCCCCACGCCCAGCTCGAGGGCGGCCGTTGGCGGCTGGCGCTGCCGCCGTGTGGGCGGCCGATCCCGCCGTTCTGTGCTCGCGGCCGGCGTTCTGCGCAACGGCCCAGCGCTCCGCTTAACAGCCTTTCAGGTCAGCCCTGGCGATGAGCTGAGAGCTGCTGTTGATCAGAAAGGAAAGCGGAATTACCTACAAGTAAAATGCAGTCGGTTTCCTCCCGAATGACAACAAATAGTTGCCCGGTGAGGCTGTGGATGCTCCCTCCCTGCAGTACCTAAATCAGCCCTGACAGAGGCCTGTGAGCTTAAGACCCACAGTGAGGGAAGCCTCACACCGCTCCCCAGGCCATCTCCTCCAGCGCTGATGGCTGTATCACTGCGAACGCAAACCTGCATCTCCACATCCTCGAAGCTCAGCCCCTGCTGTGATCTTTGGATGGTTCTGTGTGAAGCCAGGAGTTGGACTCAGTGATCCTTATGGGTCCCTTCCAACTCACAATATCCAAGGATTCCTCTTCCCAGAGGACAGACGCTGAGAAAAGATTTCATTCCTGAGGAGTGTATAGGAAGAAAATGCTGCTAAGCTGGAAACTTTCACGCTTTTCCCAGGTTAAAAGCACTTACTTTTTTCATCTTTCCTCACAGCTCGTTTCACACATCTACTTTTCTTCTTGTTTTCCCAACTCCCTGCAGCTGGTTTGCCTTTTTCTTGAAACTTGGTGTCCGTTGCTAAGCCCCATGTTAACTTTCCCAGGTCTAAATTGATTAAAAAGGTGATGTGATGTGCCAGAATGAATCACCATCTCTGCATGCCCAAACATTTGCCTTTTCTCTGTGAGTGTCCCATTGCTGGTGCACATTCAGGTTATTGCCAGTGTTACTCCGAGGCTCTTTCTGCTTTATCTTTTCCCATGTTGGATTTGTGGTGAAGATTGACCTCCTTCCTGAATACATTTTGAGCGTTCCATCTCCCAAGGCATGGGAGATCCTCACTCCGAGCACTGGCTCCACTCCTCGAGTTGTGCTGATGCTGTAGTTTGTAGGCCTACGCTATCAGCTGTGTTGATGAAACAACTCAGTCTAACAAAAAACAAAGGAGAAAAGGGGGGGAGAACAAAGATGGGTTTTGTGTTCTTTATTAATCCAGATCATTTTGTTGATCTGATTTACAGAACAGCATGCAAAACCAGTTTCTTGTTTGAGGTCACTGAACATCTCACTGGACGAGCTGGTTTCTCACTATCATCTCGTCCTTCCTACACACTGGGATAACTTCCAACTGTGCTCTTAATACAGCCTTAATTTTTCTCTCCTTCCAATTCTCAAAATAAAGACTATTTTCTTTGAAGACGCTGCCTTCAGTCTTCCACTCTTCTCCTTTGCAAAACCTTTGAAAAGAAGTTGCAACAGCAAGAGAAACAGAGATTTTTCCCTATCTTGAAGTAAACAGGGCTGGTTAGGATCCTCAATGAGCTTTCTTCAGCCTTTTGCTCCAGAAACTTGCTTCACTTTCTCTCTTGCCTTCTCTGTTTCTTCCTTTCCGTCATCCCTCTTTCATCCATCTCATCCCCACTCACCACCAAAAAAAAAAAAAAAAAACAACCAACCACAACCAAAGCAATTTATAAAGCTGCTATTCTGATTGGATCATTGTGAAGAATCAGGGCTGCACAAGCTTCCTTGAGCCATATGCAGTTAATAAGGCCTGCATTGCACTGTTGGGCAGTGGCTTGGCAATGCAGGCTTGTATGCAGGGCTGAGAACCCTCTCAGGGACTGAAATGTTACACCAAATCAGGTAGAATTACCCTGTTTAGCAAGTCACAACTCTCAAGATGTCCTCTACTCCTTTCGGTGTCAGCTATATTTCTTTAAAACACATCTACTGGAGCAAAATAGTTGTTGCAGCTTATGTGAGCAAGAAATCAGACTTCTAGAGCTGCAGGGGGACACCTAAAAACCAATTAGAGGGACACTAAAACACGAGAAAAAACTATTATTTTGCTTGAATAAAATTTCATAATGGTAGCTCCAATTTCTTTTTTTCTTGACAGAGGCGTTTGCCTGGCAAGTGGATGAATCCTTCTGTTTGTAGACAACTGCAGTTTCACTCCAGTACCCTGCCTAAAGAGAAGAACAAAAAGCCAGTTTACAATCCTGACCTTGGAACTGAGAAGTGGGCAGGTAGGTTTCAAAATAGCAAACATCAAGGGAATGTCAAGGCTCTGATTTTACATGGAAGGCTTATAGCAGTCTTGACTAAAGGCAAAGGTTAACCTGTCTCCCTAGTTAGTGTCGCCAACGCAGGATTGCAAAAATGATTCTGTGGGAAAGCTGTGGGATGGCTTACAGTTTACCTGTGTCCAATAAAAAGACAAGAAATGCCAGATCTGCTGCCAGCTTCTGCTCCCCAAGGGAGGTTCCCACCTGGATCAGCTTTAGAAGCTTATAAAAATGAGCTGTTTCGTTTTAAATGTTGCATTTTCAGATTTGAAGGTACTGATTTATTTTTGTTAAACGCTCATGTGCACAGAGATATTTAAAGATTTAAAAGTACTTCAGTTAAAGCCTCTTTAAACCAGACTGCTTCAGTCTAAAATAACTTTGGTCTCTAGAGGGCCCTGCCCATTTCTTTGGGACCAAAAAGACACTTGGGCTCCCATACCAGCTTTATCTTTTCCAATACTTTCAGTAAAAATGGGCATGCCTCCTTCTGCTAGCTTCTGTTCCACCTAGAGCCTATGGCAAGATTTGAGTCTGCAGGCATTTACAACAGCACTTGTGTTTCTCTTCATTTTGTGCCATTGGTGTCCTGAGAAAATCCTTGCTTTCAATATTTATATACTCCTCGTACACCAATCCAGGATTAAATTTCTTTTACTCAGTTATAACTTCAAGATGTTTTGTTTATTAGAGTGGAAAATGAAGATGCTGTTCCACCACTTCAAAAATAAGGTAGCAGAAAGAGTGCAATTGCACAATGCGATAAGAAGGCAATGCTTTTAAAAACCTATTGTTTTAATTGTATCATACCCCAAAGAACAAAATAAGTTCTCTGAGTTGCATCACTGCCAAAGTTACTGCAGGACGCAAGAAAAGTACAGCACACGATTAGGCAGAGGTGTTGGGAAATAAGGCTATCTAATAATGCATGGATAATTCGTTGCAGAGTATGAAAAATTCTGTGGTGAGTCTATGTGGAATAAAAAGGAAAGGCAGGCACCTACCTACCAGCTGCAGTTACTCAGCACTGTAAGCATGGGAGAACAAATGTTCCTGGAACAAAGCCCACGTCTCTCAGTGCTGCAGTGTGTCTTATCCTGAATGTATGCAGAATATGGCTTTATAATCAGATGCTTCAAAAAGCCATACAGAACTTTTGAATATGTGATAAACCAAACCATTTAGAGTGGGAGAACAAATGATAGAATCATAGAATATCTGTGTTGGAAAGGATCCGTAAGGAACACTGAGTGCAACTCCTGAAAAAAAAAGGAAAAACTTGAAATTAAGAACTGCATTTCCTAAATTCCATTCCACAGGGAGTTGCTTTTCACATATTTGGTAATATTTTATTTTCTGATAAGCCAGTTTTATGGAATTAAAGACAAAAAAAAGTGAAGAACACAAAGCAGAATGGGTACAAATATTGAAATTCAGCAATGGGAAGGAAAGGCAAGTACTCTGAAATGCTTCACACTTTTTAAAATTAATGAATATGTGGTATATATACATATATGTATTCAGCCAAGTAATAGTAACTGAGCAAAGTTATTTCTGCCTATTTTACTTATTTCTAAATTCGGAGATTACAAAAGAGCAGATGGGAGTTTATGACACCTGCAAACCCCCTCCTCTTGTTTATAAGTCATGTGTATACGCTTTCCCATTCATACCCAACTCTAAGAAATCTCTTTTAAGAATAAATAAATGCAGACTTAACCCACAGAGGTAGAGCAGAGGTCATTCAATACATCCTGCAGTTGTCAGTTCTCAGTCTGAACCTGAAATGTGTGCAGGAAAGAAAAGACTGATAATCCCACAGTAGTGCAGTCATATACCAGCTTTCTTTTACGGAGACCAAACAGGAAAGCATGGGGGAAGAACACATTTCTCTAATAACACTGAACAACAACAAAACTTGCATCAGAGCACCATATAATACACGTGACCATGTTGTACATTAGAGATAAATAGCTAAGCAATGGTGCTCTTGGTAGGTTTTGCAGGGCTCTGTCTTACCTGACATCTCACCAGCCATTTTGGTGACAACAGTCTGATGTTTGAAATGTGGCCATAAGGTAAGCACTTAAAATACCTCCCTTAGGTGCACAGAAATAATTCACAGGATCGTAGAATCTTTTGAGTTGAAAGGGACCTCTAAAGGTCATCTGAAGCTCCCAGAGTTGGACTCCAAATTCGAAGGCAGCTAAGAAATTACAAAGTGAGAAGATTAAGAAAATTCAGGCTGTACTGGAGAAGCAATCTGAGTTTCAGACATTCAGTGGGAGGTTAAAACATGGGAGGTAGTGGTGCTGAGAGAGACAGGAATAAAAGCTTTGCCTGATGAATGGCAAGTGTGGGATGTATTAGCTATGCAGAATCATGAGATCACAGAGAAGGAAATACAACGCTGTCAACGTTTGAAAGTCTAATTTAAAACATTGTGTTCTGGTTCAGCCACTTCACTACAATGAACATACTAATAAGTTGCAGAGAGTTCCATGAAAATAATCCAGAAAATAATGAATTAGCCAGAAGGATGGAGGCTCCCACTGGGAAAAATCAAAGAGATCCCGTCTATATTATTAAGTTAAAAATAGCTACAGAGGCAGGAAAACGCTTTGCAAATATCTGAGGATGTGACTTCTAGGGACTGTGCACCTGAGCAAATGTGGCTGACACCACTAAATCCTCACAGCAAAAGATTTGGTGGGAGGATAAGGGCAGTGATTTGGTAAGCACCAGTGGACAGGACTCCTGGAACTGCACGTGCAAGTATGCAGAGCAGAACACCAGGACATTGACTGCGAGGATGCAATGTGTTATTGCAAAAGTGAGCAGATGGACCACACAGCTCACCTGCTCTTTACCATCTGCAATCTGCAGCAGTGGAGTGAACTGTAAAATTCTCTAGCTACCTTTCCCTCAACTACCTCATGAGTTCAACAACAGGTTCTAAATAGTCTTTAAACTTAACGTTTCTTGTATCTTACTTAAGCCATGTCATTCTAGAGGGAAAAATACGTATTTGCACTAATGAGCTACATCTGCTTGCAGACACAAACATGCAGTTTCTCAGTCACATGCTGTGGTTTACTGGCTTCAGTTGCCTACAGAACTGCTTGGTGGCCAGCCAGGCCTGGTCGCACACCCACGTGCCTCTGTTCAGTGCATTAGAATGCTGTGTCAGTTTTCACACAGAGTACCCAAAAATACTTCTCTCAGTTTGTACTCAGTCTGCTTTCATGCAAAGAGGGACTCAGATTGTCCAGTTTTACACACTGGCAGACATCTTCCTTGTAGAAAATATCCTAATAGATTTCTGGTGTCTGTAATTTTAGAATTTTCCAAAATCTGCAACTCAGAAATACATCCTACCAAGGAGGTTTTCTGAGAATTGCCACAAGAATGATAAACTATTTGCTTTTGTTTAATCTGTAGAAAACAGAAAGCTAGCCCTCGGACCACTGTCACGCCACAGACTGAGTTTAGATTTAGTAACTGGCACATGTAGCATTTGCTGTGAGATGGAAAGAACGAAAACACAGCATGTAATGCAGAGCCAGCAAATTCTCCTCATTTCATCTAGATGGACAGTTGAGCAGCATGCAGGGCCAGTAAACGGATTTTGAGAAATACTAAAGAACCAAGTAGTCCTTCAGTGCAGGAATACCTGCAGTGAAGCATACTTTGTCATTCTTGACATTCTTCCAACACCCCCAGATGACTGTTTGCAAAGTCTGTGTAGAGCCCAGCATTGGTTTATGTCACAGCGGAGCCTCGCTTACAGAGACAACTCTGTCCTCTTTTCTGAATTTCTGACATGGAATCAGTGTGTCCTGAGTGGACTGAGAATCAGTTATTTAAGACTTTATCTCAGCAACACCATCTTATCTTGGCACTTGTAAAAACTTGCTTGACTCATGAAAAATAATGAGCTGAAGATACTGTTTTCTCTGTGCAGCTGAACATATGCGGAGTGGGTAAAGGACAAAGGCCACAGTCCAATATTCTCTCATCCCCTCCTGTAGAACACGGTGCCTACAATTGCCCTAAGTGGTTTAGATGACTTCTCTAAATTTGTGGTTCCCCAGCAAAGAGACTTTCAAGATGTGGCACACAATTTTCACAAGAGTTTTTTAAAGGAAACAAAAAACAAACATCTTATGTATCTACAGTAGCAGATTCAAAGTCTTCATTGTGCCAGCTCTTATCTGAAGAGGAATAAATATTTCCATGTCAGCAGCTACTGTGTGAGGGGAGGACAGGGTCTACCTGACAGTTGATAACTTGGCCACCAGAGAAGCATATTTATAAAAGTCTTTGCTAATTAGTAACTTCCTGAACATTAGGTAAGTGCTTTCACAACAGCAATTACAGCCAGTCAACAGAACCTCACTGCTACACCTGGTGTTTTCAACTGCTCCTCTCAAACTGCCTGCGGCAGCAAGCCAGGTGGTGCAGCAACCTGCACTTGCGGCTCAGCATGGTAGAAAAAGAAAAGATAAGGGGAAAGGATAAAATGAAGCACAGAGTGTTGGTGAAATCTGATGTACTTTAGGTAAGTGAGTGGCTGACACTGAGGGCATGCAGTAGATGGGCAGAGGCAAAAGATTGGTATCTTGGTGAAGAGAGTTACAAGGACAGGAAGGTAGAAGATCACAGAATCACAGAATGTTGGGGGCAGGAAGGGAGCTCAAAAGATCATCTAGTCCAATCTCTCTGCTGGAGCAAGAACACAGAGGTCAGGTCACACAGATGTGGGGTAGTGCACCAGTTCGTGAGACTGAGACCTGCAGAAATATATGCATCTGAGGATCTGATGAAGGGAAGGAAAACACTAAGAGAGGAGAAGCAGGCAAGGATGGAAACGTACCACTTCTGACCCATCTTTATGATTTGCAAGAAACATATTCTGGTAATATCTACTGGTTCTGGCTCACAAACAAATTAAAATTCGAGACCTCCCTACTCCAGTTCAGTCTTTTACAAGTTATCTGCAACTGAAAGCTCGGTATGCTTTTCATCATACGATGTCTGCCGCTGCCCACACAGAAACCACACCAACACGAAAGGCTTACAATACACAAACAGACTGAGATAGAGCAGCTCCTTGCTAGTCTCAGAAACTGTGTCCGAGCTCCCTCTGGCGAGTTGTATTGTTTTTCTACGCTCAGGGATTGCTACCAGCAGCCATATACTTGCGGACTGAATAGCTAAATTTACATACATGCATATACATATGTATATTTTTTAATAAGCAGACAAAGGGTCTTTGTACCTCAGTTTCTACTAATTCTACTTCACAAAGCTAAGTTCTTTTTTTCAGAAGTTGCTAGAGAAGTAAAAAGCAGAACAAATACAGTTTTAATGGCTTTAGAAACAAGTTGAGACTAGATTGTTTCCAAAGCTCCTGTAAAAGAAAAGCAGTAGCTTTATGTAACTTCCTACTTTAGATAGCACATATATTTTGTGAAGTAGCATTTCTAGAAGGGGAGGTGAAAGAGGGCTTCCACCATCATGTGTGTGGAACAAGAACTAGAAACAGGGCTGGTGTATAAATCAATTCCCTTGGCATCGTATGGAGCAAGAAAATGGGTAAACCTCTAACTTTTTGTAAAAGTCAAACTGCTCAGTTTTCTGAACTGGTGAATGAATTCTGGAACATGGCCACTGTGAGCCTAAAATGGAAAGACTACTTCTCATTTAAGTGTCGGAATATGAGGTATTTTCCTATTCAGATCTCCTTTACAAACTTTAAAATATTTCAAATTATTCCTTTTTAGAACGCGAGGTTTTAAAAACCAAAACAAGCATTTAATAACATTGTTTCTTTCTGTCTCATTGAAGACGTGGCTGAAGATGTGTTAATCCTGATGGCATTTCTCCACCTACCAGTTTAATTATTTATTCTTGAAATCAGGATGTTTCTGTATGCAAAAAACTTCAGCTACAGAGGCTATGAACTGTTGCTTCAGCTCTTTCACACGTGTACACGTCTACCTGTGTTTGTCCTCAAAATGGGGAGGGGAAGGGGGAGAATAGGAATATTTTAACCGAAACAACTCTCAGCTATCTAGTGTTCAGTGTAAGCATGATCTCCAGCTCTCCTGCTGTTTTGCAGGGGAGTTGTGCACAGCAAAATTCACCTGGCACTGACTTGGTGCAAGGTTGAGCACGTTGTCTCCTTTGTATCCACTCTTGTAGGCACTACTTTTACAGCAAGCTGTGCGTTGCTGTTACTGTTTCCTTTGGCTTGTTACCAATTCTGCTACACCCGTGGAACCAAGTTTCTTTGCACCATTCAGCCACAACAACCAATTAACTTTGTTCATATACTCATCCTCTTCAGGAGTCCCGTGCCACTAAATAAATCCTTACCTCTGAGATATATGCCACTGACAATATTCTACAGTCCTAGCTCTTCTAGAGCAGAGAAATAATTCCCTTACAGCTCTGTCTGGACTTCTGTTCCAAAGTTCTCAAACCTATGTGCAAGTTTAGTAGTGGGCACACCAGCAGCCATGAAGTTGATGTGAGCTCAGTGAAAGGCTGTTAGCACATCTGACAGGGGAAAGCCAAGCTGCAAGGGAAGTTAATTTGCCCAAATGAGGAATAGAACAAAGAACTGGAGCTATGCATTTAACAGTACAGAGCAGTAACGTTTCCCTGATCACCGTATCAGGCTCATCACAGGTTCACCCACAGGAGGGTTGTGCATTTGTTTTTACAGAAGATCTCAGGTGGAGATGAAGCACCCAGGGGCTGGGTTAGCAGGAACCACAGCAGTCTCTTCCTCTCCTGTGCAGGTAGCCTGGAGCAGTATGGTCAGATTCCGTATCAGAGGAAGCATGTAATGTTGAAACCATTCGGCCTGGAGCAACGAAAGCACAGAAGAGGTATGAAACCAAGTTAATGACAGCACACCAAGCCCTGTTTAAAAACAACATGCCATTTAAACAAAGTAAAGGCTCTTCAGTGGACCTGAAAACAGAGCGTTGTTCCACTTCATTGTATACCTAACTGCAGTAAGTCCGAGAAGAAGAAAGGTTATCTCTAATGATCACTGGCTTAAGTCTTACAATGGTTCCATGCCCTTGGTAAACACTAAGAGTTCTAATTGTACTTTTTGCTCCCTTTTTTTTTTTTTTTTTTTTTTTTTCCATTTCACTAAAAATGATCAATCTTTTCTCTAAGAACTGATAACAAGGTCCAGTAGGTGAACCTGAAGCTGAAACTAGGACATTCTAGCTTAAAAATAACTCATTAGGATTTAGGCATCTAAGTCACCTCTGAAAACAGGCCATAGATACTCACAATTACCAGTTAAAAACAGATGCTAAACTTGCATGTCTGGTTCAAAGAGTATTATAGATAACCTGAAGGTTACTCTCAGACATTAATGAGCTGTATTGGTGAGCATGGATTTTTGCACTGAAAACTTGGAGCAGAGAAATTGCTCAACATCACTTAGATCTGAGGAATGGCCCTGTGCTCTTATCAGTTATTATATATCTATGGTCAGGCCCATGGTGCTGTCCTGCTTTCAATATAAGCAGGAAGGGAATAAAAAAAGAACTCAGTGGAAGGCAACAAAGATGATAAAGGGCCAGGAACATTTCCCTTATGAAGAAAAGCTGAAAGACCTTGGGTCTGTTCAGCCTGGAGAAGACTGAAAGGGGATCTCATCACTGTTTATAAATAACTAAGTGTGAGAATGAAGTCCATGGAGTTGGACTCTTTTTGGTGGTGCACAGCAACAGAACAAGGGACAATGGGCAGAAACTGGAACATGGGAAGTTCCATACCGACACCAAGCGGAATTTCATTACTGTGAGGATGACAGAGCACTGGAACAGGCTGCCCAGAGAGGCTGCAGAGTTGTCTTCTCTGGAGATATTCGAGACCCAGCTGGATGCTTTCCTGTGTGGCTTGCTGTAGAGAACTGCTTTAGCAGGGGATTGGACACAGTGATCTCCAGAGGTCCTTTTCAACCCTTGTGATTCTGTGAAAACTCCAAAGAAGGGCAAAGTGAATGAAAAGTTCTATTTTGGAAACAGAAGTCTGGGAAAATCTTACTGTGCAGAGGTCAACTTCTGTTTTTACATAAAAAAAATCAGAATGCTCATTTGGTTTTGAAGTGCTTAAGTCTGTTTAAAACTAAGCGTTTCACTCCTTATCAGTGGTCTTTGAGATTATGGTTAGCTTTCGTTGGTCTGAGTTCTCAGTACTCATCCCTCTCAAAGCGTCAACCCATACGTATGTCTCGTTCTCTCTCTTGGAGAGGCAGCAGAGATGAGGTAACGAAGGAGTGTGGAAATAATAATTTCTGCCAAAAATAAGACTGAAGATGCAATTAGCCTAAGTGCAATAAGAGGGCACAGCTTTTGTAGCTGGCCTCTTGCTTAAGCCAGATTGTCCCGAAATTTTCACTCCATCTTACTCCAGATCCTTGAAGCCATCCAGCTGTGCCCAGAGGTCACTCCCTCTCGTCCCATCCTCCACTTGTGTTCTCTTCTAATTTGCTCTCTCTTTGCATTCTCTTTGGTGCACCAGGGGGTGCCACATTTAGAGACAGAACATCATCACACACCCTCAAGCCATTACCCATATTCTACATCACAATGCTGATGAACATGGTGGGAGAGAGCAACTCCTCACTTTGATGTGGCAGCAAATCACTAAGGATTCATTCTGATTCTGCACAACTACCTCCAGATGCTGGAAGTTCAACATCTTAGCTGCAAGTAACTATCTAATACTTCTACATGTGTGGCACACATTTCTATCCCTCTTCTGAGGGATAGCATATTTGTATAAAATAAAATAAAGTCAGATTCTAGTAAGAATATACATCCATTAATTGAGACTACCAAAATACTGTCTGGCCTGGGATAAAGCACAAAGTGCTGAAAACACGACACAGAGAGGAAGCCTTCAGCTCTGATCACCAGTGTCTCAGTAACAGCTGATTGCATAAATGTCTGAAACTGCAGCTAACATTTTGTAATTGCTTTGCAGCATTCTGGGTGGCAAAAAGGATATCTCTGAAAATCCTTATAAATAAAGCCCTCAAAGAGCAACTCTCTCATTTGAATCCAAAAGTTGCATCTACAGTGTTTTCCACTTTGTTCCCTCCAACTCCCCTGGGCCTGCTTGCTTTCTCAAGGCTGAGCCAGCTCCCCAAGCAAGCCAGCTGCCTCTCCCCACATCCCCATGGCTCCCTTGGCAGCCAGGCAGAGCAGCCACAAGCTCTGCTGGATAAGGATGCCACAAAGGTCTCCATGGACTCTTTTGCAATACATGCCTGGGAGGGGAAACATGCAGAAATGTTTATGGTGAACATGTTATTGCAGCCCTCATTGTTAATCACTGAGCAGCTCCAGGAATGTTGCTCTGCTGATTTTGCCACCCTAGAAACCTACTGGAGGCACTTCAAGTGTACGTCCAAGAGTCTTCCAAACTTCTAGCCAAGCAGCAACACCTTGGATTTGCACCCAGTACCCAAATACCATCAAACACTGCTGAAATTACCTTAAGTCCACTGAAATACATAACCAGCAACAATTTAGTTTTCCTTACCTACACCAGAGTTTTATGTCAGCTCACCTGTCCAGGAAATTAGTCACACATTGATGGAGCCAGGTGAATTCCCACGATAGGTGGAACCAGAAAAGTCATAGCCATCTCCCTCAGAGCTCTTATTCAAGGAAGGCTGGATCCAGGTCCTCCCCAGAAACCTGCTAGAAGTCAGGTGAACTGCTTTGAGAAACTTTGCGGGAACTGATTGCTCCTCCCAGGACTGCTGAAGTGAGAGCAAGCAAGCAAGAATCAGTCACCTGGAGGAGATGGCAGGACAGGGAGGAGACTACACAGATCACTCAGTTAACTTGCTTTTCTGTCTTCTTCTACTTTTTAAAAAGGACACTCATTCTGCTCAGTGTAGCAAAACCAATTACACAACACAGGTTTCTAATCTCTAATTACAGTGAATGCATTTGCCTCATTATTGCTGGAGGGAAAGAAACATGCAATGAAGCCACAGTATCTGTGGCAACAATGTCATGTGCCATGCTGATCAAAATCTAGTTCACTGCTGAATTTCAGTGTCGCCCTTCCGCATAGTAATTACGCTTTACAATTAAAAAAGACTCACCATTAAGGCTATGTACAAACAAAATATTTTCATATGAAGCAAGGAACTCAGCAAAACATTATAACATTTATTAATAATCTAGGGCAAATATTTTCAGAAAGTCTCATTATTTTAAGGGCCAAAGGATAAAACTTCTATGAGAACAAATAGTCTCATCTTTTACAACTGGAACTAGGTCAACAACAAACTGAATTACCCAGCCAGCTTGAACAAACAAACTGCAGCAAAATTAAAAGCTGCTATCAAATTAGTCCAGCCTCTCTTGCTAGTCCACCTCAAAGTGAAAAAAAAACCCAAACAACAGTAATATCAGAATGTCATTCTCATGAGAAGGAATTAGGAACTGTCATGTTGCTTTCCACTTTTTGAACTAGAAAGAGAGAAGATTTACTTCAGAACAACAAGACAGAGAAACAGCAGGAAAGTTATAGCAGCAGGGTGTGGAATTCTTTCAGTTTGCTTTTTACTGAAAAAGACTGCTTGAAATAAATTAATGTTGGTGTCAAACCATAGTGTTACAAGAGCCACAAGGCATTTTAGCAGTTCTAGGTTGGTGTCTACTCTATTGGGAATGAAATTCCTCTAGAAGACTGCCTTGCAGAAGTAAGAGGGAAAGGATGAACCTTTGTGGTCAGAAAGATGGAGCTTGAGGCTGCTCTTGAGCTGTTATTCCCTGTTGTTATCAGGGAGGTAGGAGCAGGGATAGCAGCCTTTGCTCTCCCTGCTCAGTGGCTCTGCTTTATAGAGATGTAGAATATATAAAAAGTGAAACATATAGAGAAGCCTTGTGGTATCAAGTACAGAAGCCTCATAAACTGCCAAACAGTACGACACCTTGTGCTTTAAGCACTGATTATAATAGTATTAAAAGTAATAACTCCAAGATTAGAAAATTATCAGTAACAAACCCATGCAGGACTTCCTGGGCAAGAACAGCTGTGAGAATATCAAAATCTGGCTTAGCCATAGCTAGGAATGATGTGACAGAGTCAGAAGGCTTTTTCCACTTAGTTATGATGTTTTGGAAGAAAGTAGGCTAACACTCAAAATGTTCTAGTTTGGCTCAGAGTGCAAATCTTGAAGTAATGCAGCTCTGTGGCAGCTTTTCTGAAGAGCACTATTTAATAAAAGGTTGTAATGTCAGTGACTTAATAAGCCTGCTTGTACTTTATGACTTGGGCTTTCAGTACCTATGTATTTTCTTTAATTACACTAGCATATCCTGTTGTCCTTAAGGATTCCTGTTCATGCAGTCACTGGGAAGCTATTCAGTATTCTTTTCACATTTGCTACTCAGTGCATGGATCCAGGTCTCAGATATTAACTGAGTGCCTCCTCTCCAACAGGTTCTGCTTATGAAACTGTTCACTTGAAGTGATGCATTAGCACTCATCTTATTGCAGTGCTTGTAGTCCTTCCTGTAACCTTATAAAGGACACAAAGATTAGAATACTTGATCTCTGCCAGTGAGTTTGCTAAATATTTTGAGAGAATGCTGCTCTACAATTTGCATTGAAGTAGTGCAAGTTGTTTCAAATGCAGGTATGGGGTGTTAATTTGCTTGTTTAGAGCTGATTTTGAACTCCCAATATAGTTTCAATGGAAATTTGCAGTAGATCTACATCAAACTGTTCCTGAGGAGAACTCAGAAGGAAGCAAATAAGATTTTAACAATAACATGAAGGCCTGGTATCATTAAAAGGCTAGTCTATCAGTACATTTCATGAAAAAAAAACAATATTTCCCACAGAAGCAGCAGCAATAGGAGTCTCATTTTTAATTTCTTTTTTCAGAATGAAATATTTGAAATAAACATCCGATGAGAAACAAGAAATAGCTTGAAAAATGAACAGTAGCTACATCCCCCTCTCTCTCCTCATTACGTTTTAAGTAAACTAGCAGCAGTGAGCATTCCTGCACAAGGAAAATTCCAATCATAGAACCTATTTTCATCTATTTACATGACCTATGCATTCCCTCCCCTGAATAAAGTTTTGTTTGTTTAGTTCTGGTTTTGTCTTTAACCATTTACAAGCCCATGCCTTTGGAAATGGAGACAAGTGCTGAAAAGCAGTATCTCAGTTAGGTGAGCTCAGATGAGCATCTCAGCTCATGAAGACTGATTGGATTATTCATCTGCCATGTTCATTTCTGGTTTGCCTGTGTGTGATAGAGATGGACAGCACTACATGCTGGCTCCTCTCCATATATTACTCCCAGCATCTACTGAATTAACATGCATTAACATGCATGAGTCCCAAAATAAGCACACAGCAGTGCCTTACCTGCCTCCTGTGGACCAATTCCTTTAAAGTTTTGCTAAGGGGCAATGATGATATCATTCTATTCTGCCACCACTGGCATACATGCTTAGAAAGAGTTCAGCAAAAGCTGCAACCTCAGCCTTCTGCACAAAAGCCCACCAGAAAATCACTTGTAAATGGGGCAACGCACAGCAGCAGAGAGCAAGATGCCTGAATCTCCCTGTAGTTAGGGCCAGTTTCACAGCTAACATCTGTGATAGTGAAGTGCTGATGGAGGTGGCTGCTCTGGGGCACTGAAACTCACCTCTAGCTCTCTAAAGAAAGACTCAGCTGTCCTTAGTGCATGCAGAGTGCTAAATATGGCAAAGCTGCAACCTTCAGCAATATCATAAGAAGCAATATAAACCCAACAAAGTGAGAAAAATACAGTCTTTGAAATATAAGATAATATAATTATTTATAAAAATAATTCCATGAGGTTTCACTGATCGTTTTGCATAATAGAGCCCTTAATAAGTTTTGGTTTCAGTCACTAATTTCTTCCTCATTCCAATTTGAAAACATGCTGATTGAAATAATACTGAAGCTGCTCTTTTGCATAATTTATACAGAACTGCTCAAAATTGTTGGTTTCAAAATCTTCAGACCCCAAATATCAAGTACACCAATAGGCAAACACTAGTGGAAAAAGATGTGAAATGTAGGCAAGCAGTCCCCCAGTAGCTTAACCCATAACAGCCAACTATCGCAGACTGATTATTCCCTGCTCCCTCAGCCACTCCTCATAAGACTTGTGCTCCAGACCCCTCACCAGATTCATTGCCCTTCTCTGCCATTTCTTGTAGTGAGGGGCCCAAAACCGAACACAATGCTTGAGGTGTGGCCTCACCAGTGCTGAGTAAGGGGGAAAGCAGCTGACTCCTCTTCTTGTTGCACTTTCAATTTGTGCCTTTTACTCACATAACTCCATGTGTCCTTCAGTGTCAGTTATATTCTATTTCTGAAATCCAATGGAAGGAGATCATCAAACTACAGCTGGACAATAAGCCCAAACTTCTATGGGATGTACGGCATACCTAAAAAAGCAGGACATCTGCCACACTGTATCCCATAGATGGAGTAACTACCCCAGGCCTGTGTGGGTACGAGACCATTCCTGGGACCAACTTGACCTCTGGCTGCAGGGAGCACAGGGAAACACAGGCTGTTCAGCCCATCTCACTGAAAACCCACAGGTCTTCACAGTCAATGCACGGCTGCTGGGGCAAAGGATTCACCTCCCTGGTCGCTTCTCACCAGGATGTCACAGCTATGGAAGGTGCCACACAAGGATGAGCAGTGACAGATAGATTGGGCAGCATGGCCAGGCTGTGCAAGGCTTGCTCTGTAGTGCAAAATTCTTTTGGTTCACTGAAGATATTGTTTCAACGTCCTACTTCATGAGCCAATATGGGTGGTTCTCTGTAATGGGGCTGTTTTATAATACATGAGTTACTTATTGCTAATGGCCATCTATTTTGCCATTGTAGGTAAACTGTGGGCTATTACCCTGCAGTGAGTTGGCTTAGGAAAATAATGCCCTATTTATAGAAAAATATGAGATGATACATTCAATGTTTCTTTAAAAAAGGTTAGCCATTGCTTAATTTTCCTCCTTTGCCTTCAACTAAGGGATAGCTTTAAATTACACAGAAGTTGAAAAGAAAAGGTTAATGAAGGCATTTTGGGGGATGTCAAGAACATTTGAAATTATTTTCATCTTTCTTATTTGCAGACAGTGATGACAACATCCACTTTACGGTCAGAACACTTCTGTGCCTCACCCAAGCTCCATTTCTGCCGGGAGGAAGGATCTGGTGGCCGCTGCCTCTTTCCACATCGCTGCGTTTCTTCACAACTGATTTCCCCTCATGGCACAGTGACAGGTATTGTATGAAGCCCAGTGGAGCTGTGAGACTGTGGTTTGATTTTTTTAACAGATTTCTCAACCGTGCCTGCTCTGCCGAGCATAGTTGCTTTCCTGCTACTCAACAGAGCGCGAGCAGTGAGGGCCGGACAGCAAAGCACACAGCCACCACAGGCAGCTTCAGCCTCTTCTTCTGCCTACAGAAGCTGCAATTACATTGTATTCCCATGTGGTCTCTTGATACACTTTGTTTCAGTTCATGTAAATAGCAACCAGCTATCATGGGTATGGTGATATCAGCTACTAAAAATACACTGAAGTCGATTTACTGCTGCATACTAGAAAGGAAATTCATCTCCTGAATTAATTTAATTCCTTATAATCATTGCAGAATTCATAAGAATATTAAAAACATCTTTAAACAAAGTCCTCAAAGTGTGAAGTCAAAGACAATGTGAATTACAGGGTACTCATTTATCTTCCCTAACCCATGCTGTCCTAGCAGGCAGGAGATCAGAAGCAGGGTTTACAAGCTCTAGGCCTGTTTTGTTTCTGTCTGCTATATGACCTTGTGCAGACCACTGAAATACTCATAGAGAGTCCTGCAAAGAATCTAGTTATATTTTAATGATTACTCTCCCTCTTTCCTCTTCCCTGACTTGAACTGTTGTGGCTTTTTTTTTTTTTTTTTTTTTTTTTTTTTTTTTTTTTTTTTTCTTCTATAACATCTGGTTGGAAAAAACCCACAAACATAGAGTGATAGACTCATCTGAGCTGGAAGAGACCCTTAGCAGCCATCTTTTTCAACTCCCCTGCAATGAATAGGGTCACCTACAGCTACATCTGGTTGCTCTGAGCTCCATCCAGCCTCAACTCAAATGTCTCCTAGGATGAAGCATCCACTACCTCTCTGAGCAACCTGTGTCAGTGTCTCACCACCCTTATTATAAAAATCTTCTTCCTTATGACCAATCTAAACCTCCCCTGCTTTAGTCTGAAACCATTTCCCTTTGTCCTATCACAACAGGTCCTGCTAAGAGTCTGTCCCTTTCTTTCTTATAGCCCCCCATTAATGATATGCATAATTATCAGAAATATTTCTCACCCTTTACCAATTTCTTTTTAAAATCTTTTTACATTAGATACCTTTATTACACTTTTTCTGCAGTCATTTAAATATAAAATACTGCCTTTACCTTTGTACAACCTTGAGAAGTTGTTTCCCCTTAATCATTAGCTTCTATTTAAAACCTCAGAACTTTGATTAATCATTAGGAATTCTCAGTGTATGTTTTTTTTTTTAAAAAAAAACGATTCTCTCCTTTCAAATCATCTCTTACTTCCTATCTACTGTAAACATTCTGCTAACTTTTATGATGGTAGATGCTGACATTCTATCTAGCTGAAGTTTGCTGCTTGGATCCTTAGTGATTCAAACCTTTTGCTCTCTTTTCAGTGCATCCTTTCCAGAGTGCACTGAATTGAGCTACCTTAGAAAGGCAATGTGAAAGTCTCCTTGCTGCTTCCACATCCCCAGAGGACTCCTGTGGCTTGATTCCCAGTGCAGAATATGTACTGAGCAGCTCAGTGGTGCCCTGTAGGAAACACTGTGTTGCTTCCATGGGAGAGGTAGTAGACATGCCTTTGAAACTTTGGGTGTTTCGGTACAGTCTCTTATTCTTTTTGTTTTACATTTATGTTTTGATTATAGCCTCTTTTCCATTAAAAACAAGTTCAGGATGAACCCAAAGGCAGAATCAGGCCTCTGGCTGAAAATCACTAACATCAGTTCTGTAACATCTCAGCCTTTTTTTTTTAACTTAAAGAAAAAACAAAACAAAACAACAACAACAACAAAAACATTAAAACATTACTTTAAGCTAAATGGAGTTTATACTTTAAGCTTCCTTGGGTAGCTACATGAGAAGTTACCTCACAAGTTCCAATGAATTTCTACAAAAATCTCTCTTCTCTTTTCACATTATAATTATCCCTCTTTCTGGCACTTGAATTTAAAAATACAAAACAAAACCAACATGAATAAAAATGACTCATTTCCTCTTAGGATTTCACTACATTTTCAGCCAGTCTAAGATTCTGGGTGGCCTCATTTGGTGGTGTTGAGGAATGGGGATGCTGCTAAAGGCAGTGCTGTATGCTGCAAACAGGAGGCGGCTGGCTTGGGTTGGGTTGGAGTCAGTTTAGTTTATTTGAACTCAAAGAGCAAACTGGGTTGTGTCCACTAAGCAAGTCACCAGCCCCAGCATTTCTCAAACTTACCATCCAACATCTTTTAGAGCAGTGCAGTAAGGCAACATGTCAGTATTTGTACACATTGCCCTGGATAAACAGTGCTCTGTGTGGAGGCTGGGTTTTCAGTTAGCCAGTAAAAGAAAAGCGAGCCAACCAATCAAGTCAAGAAACTTACATCATGCTAAAATCCAAACCAAACCTCATACATTTTATCCTCATCTATTCTCCTGGGTTTGGGTTATATAATGAAATTCTCTTTGGAAATGCTGCTCATTTACTTAATTTTATAGATCTTCTCAGTCTTTTCATACATTTAGAAATCACAGTACCCAGAAAGGTTCATATGTTTTCTTTGGGACACTTTTTATTTTATTTTTTGCTACAGTATTTAAATTACAAGCTTGGGTGATGGTTTCAAACACAGTTATTTACTCCTTTTGCTAAAGAAGCTAAATTTGTTACAAATAGTTATTAGTCCTTTCAGATGGTCTTGGCTTTACATTATGGTACAAAATAGGCAAACATATTTTCCTGGGAGGGTAGCATCCCCTTTGGTTATCAAGTGCAATCACACAAGAATTTGGACTTCTGACCTACTCCACTCTTTTGATATTTCAAGCTTGCTCTTTACCCACAGAAATCCTTGAACAGGAGTCTCCCCTTTGGTCAGACTACTTCCCACAGTGTGCCACCAGCACTATGTATTTTCCAAGTATGAAAGCAAAATATTAGAAAAACATTTTAAAACATGAGCTGTGTCTAGATTGCAAATGTCTGCTGGCATATCTGGGCTGTGGAAAATGCTTCCTCACTGACACTGCTTGGAACCAGACTGTGGTACAGCACAGCTATGCTACAGCACAGCGCTCTTCCTGGTGTACTTCACGTTGCTTGGGGTGAGGGTGCTAATTATACCATCAGAAAGTTCTTTTTGGCTCTGTGCATTGAATACACAGAAAGCCTTGTTGGTTTTGATCTATTGCAAGAACCTCTCTAAAATCATTACACTGAGAGGATAAACTGGAAGATGGGGTTTCTGATGGAGTGCGGCGGGTGGTAAGTGGTCACAGCTTTCACCTTTGAAGGCAAATGATCAACCCAACATCCAGTCATCTTTCTAGAAATGAGTTTTAACTAATATCATGTACTGAACCGTTCCCTGAATTTTCCTACTGACTACAAATGCTTTTACAGTGGTCTGTTTCTCCTTCTGCCTAGCAGAACAACCATCTATCCAGTGAAAACTTAAATGCAAAGGGCTTTACAATGCACAAAAGGGAAGGAAAAAGCTTCTACTCTTTTCTTCCTACTTATAACAGTCTTAGCTGTTGCTCAGTATTACTTGACCACAAACTCCTCAGATGAGGATAACTGTTCAAATCCCCTTTTAGCTTAGATCTCCCTGACCAAGGTTCTGACCCCTGGGGCCACCCAGGTGGAAGCAATGCCACCAGCAATCAAAAGGGAACAGAATACACAGGATAGCCAACACCTGGCCAACCTGCACGCTCTCTGGATTTCAAACAAAGCACATTTTTTATGGTTGATCACCACAAGTCTGATAATGTAGTGCAGACCACGCAAACCATACTGACAATTGTCAGGCAAAGCAAGAATTAGTGCCATCATCTTCTCACAAATGAATGCCAACAGAAATCAGATCCAGACTCGAGCACTTGGTTGCAACAGCTCAGAAGAGGAGCCTGGCAGCCCATGCGTGTGTGCCCCATCTGCTCCCCCAGATCCTGAGAGATTCTGCAGCAGTGGCACCTGGGCACAGGCCTGGAGGCTGCAGAGATGCTCACACTGCAGTGCAAATACAAGGCAGCTGGGCTACAAGGAACACCTGGCTGCTCATTCTTCCTCCGGTGTGTGCAGGTGAAGCGGTGCCCTACCTTTCCGTGATCTTCTCATTGGCAGTTCTGCTGATATAAGCGAGACTCTGCACAGGGAACACAACACAAAGTTGCCATGCCAGGATTCAGACCACAGATTTTCTCTGAACTACTTATCAAAAATTGCTTTGACTTTAAATAGCTCTACCGTTTTAAATAAAATAATTATTTTTAAATAGTTCTAATTAAACAAACCTAGAAGATCTTTGATCTTCATATCTGATATACCTTTGAATAAATAGTTCTATATATACCTCTTGATTTTTTGGTGAGGAAGTGCACAAAAACTTAAACAGATTTTTAAGCTAAAATCAACAGTTGTCTTTTAGAAATAAACTTAATATCCTGAAACACTCAATGTGAAGTTACAGAAATGCAAAATATATTCTAACTACACAATCACTATAAATATATATTTTAAGTGAATGCATGCTTTTTAATTACTCTGTGAGCAAATTACCAAAAAAGAAAAAAATTAAGATTTTCTTTAAAATAAAAACTAAATAAATACATAAATCAGGACTTAAAATAATAAACTGAACCAGCCAGTAACTCTTTAAAATACAAAAGCATCTCTCCCTTTCTCCCGTAGATCAGTCCAGCTTTACAACAAACAGCTAGTTGCTCTGAGGCAACCAGCTGAAAATACACCAAACTACTGTTCTTAAGCTACATTCTGAAAACAAACGTTGTCATTAATTGGGGCATTTTAAATTTACTGTTTAATGAAGAGCTGCCACACGAGGCTTCCTAAGGTATCAAGTAAGCCTCAGCAGTGAGAACTGAAAAAGAAATCATATGTGCAGTTTGTTTCAGAAGAGTATGGTTTTAACTTATGCTTTAAAATCCCGTTAAGCATAACAAAGCATTAGGAACAATCAAGCTCGCTAGTAGAGGAACAATTGGCTTGCAGATGCCAGAAAGCATGATTGTTTAATGTTATAACTCTGAGCGATGCCTCGAGGATTTCACTTTGTGGTAGTTTACAAAATAAGCTTGACCTGAAGGTGCTGCATTGTACGTTAGTAAGCTGGAAACCATGGAGTGGAGCGAAGTGGACCCCCTGCAAACTGCTGTTTCCTGAGGCGTGAAGGACTCGTCTCATACAAGGCCTGCAGCAGGGCCAGGCCAACAGGCTCTGTGCCAGGACAGCTGCTGTGCTTGGACCACAGCGCAGACCAAGGGCCTACGTCACCAGTTCTGACCTTCACCGTCACGTCAGTGTCTTTCTCATACACCACCCAGGAAGGGCTGAGCACCAGGTGATAGAAACAGCCATTTAAAATGACTCTTTTTACTGATTTAAATTTTGTTTGTAGAGCTGGTAGAAAAAGAGAGCAGATTTTACAAGTCTCAGAACTGGAGGGCAAATAGATGCAAATGTGCTTTATCTGCTGGAACAAGCGCCCTGGACTACCTAGAGGCTGTGGGTCTGCAGCAAGCCTCTGAGCACCTCCTGTTGGATCAGTTTCACTGTACATTAGGAACTCACTGGGTGAGAGGCTGCAACCACACAGTCCAGCGATCCCGTGTGCTCCTCCGGAGTGTAGGGAATCAGACATGAGCCCTAATTGCAATAAGTATTCACAGACAAAGGCAAGGATCATTATTCCCCATTTATGGAGGAGAAACTGAGGCACAAAGTGATTACTGTAAGTCAGTGACATAGCTGGACAGAAATCCCAGCTAGCCTGACACCTACAACCAGGTGCTTTAAAATTGGCCAAAGCCACTCTGCTATTAATGTGAATAATTTACTGAACATCTTGCTCCTTTTTCTGCATTTAGTGAGACCAATTATTTCTTTTTTATCCTCCTCTTTCTAAAACAACACTGGGAGTAAAGTTCCAGGAAACAATGTGAAATCTGCCAGCAGATTTATCCCACACATGACGTTCCCCGTATGCTGTAAGGTGCAGGTTGGCCTGTTATCACTGAATGGGGGCTCCATGAATGCTGCTGCACTCTTCTCACTCCATGCAAATTATTACATGGCTCATCGGGAGAATTAAAATGGAGAAAAATAGTAAGACTTAGAAGAAAAATGATGTTTTCATAAAACACAGACTTATTGCATGATAGTTGGAGGCAACACCTTTGCACAAACAGTTTTAAATCAGAGCTGTTCTTTAACTAAGCTTTCAGAGATTGCTTACACAATGTGTGGCAATGGGAGAGCATATAGAAGAGAGTTAATTTTCTTCTTTCTTCTTCAGTTGCTCAAGCTGTTGAAAAGCTGCTTGTCTAATCTTAAAAGGATGTAGAGAATAACTTGTTATTCTCCCATACCACACTGCTACGCCTTAAGATGTGAACAGTTTGCCACCTGATTGCTGAAAGGGAATTTTTCTCAATTTCTAAGTAACAGTGTAAGTACATCATCAAATGCACATCACCTGCAGGTGGCAAGTGTTACAAAGAACTTGAAATCACAGTTTTTTTTAATAGCCTCTCCAGCAACCAGTGGTGAGCTGTCAGTGTGCTGTCTCAGTCTATTTCAGCTACGAGAAGGCAATCCAGTGCTTAAGTTCTTCCACACGCTGCAGTATCTGGGTATAATAGAAATCCATGTTGGCTGCAAAGTCTTTACACACAGGGGATTCCATGTCACCAAAGGTGCAGTACAGTGCAGTTCCTCCGATGCTAAGGAAAACGGTTGCTATGCACAGCAGGATCAGCAAAATACAGGAGCCGCCAGCTACTTCATCTGTGAGCAGAAGAGAAAGTGAATAAGAGACCAGACAAAGCAACACGAATGTGTATGTGCCATAGTTTTATCAGTATTCTGTATCATGACATCATGCGACAGACTATTTGGGTGCAGAGGCACACTGCACTGCGGAGCTGTGTTTCCTGGTTTCTCTAGCAGCCTCACATGAATTCTGACTCTCTAAGAGGAAGATACGCTGGGATTTTCTGCATTTCCCAGGAGCTTCCGTGTGATTTTTAATTCTGGGTGATGGGGGAAGAGCTCTCTGATTTTTTCTGGGAGGCAAGCCATGAAGAGCCTGCCGATACAGACTCAGACTGACCCTCTCGCCTCCGGTTTTATTTTTGATTCATTTTCATTAATTACTCTTAATTACTCTGTATTAATTCACATTCCTTTTAATAAATCTCTATTGTCTTTTTTTCCTTCTTCCTTCCCCCCACTCTTTCTCCCAAGGGGATGGAAGGTGTTTGTGTGATTAACTCTTCAAAATGCGACAGTATGAGAAAACCTGAGATTCCTGAGATTTGTTTCAGAAACCTAAATAATTATGTAGTGCCTTTTCTGCAACCTGTACCCCTGTCCTTGTTTGTATCACTTGTGGAGTCAATCCACACTGAAGTATAACAGATTTGAATGAGAGAATGTTGCACAACAAAAACCTTCCTTCATGGAAATACCTGAAATGAAATGAAAGCTTTGAAAATAAAACAGATGATTTATTCTCATGTTTTGGCTGTAAGGGTGGAGACAAATCCTTCACAGAAGCCCACTAGTGAAGGGTTAGTTTAAATCACTGTTATCTGCGGTAACTCTTTGCAAGACTCTTTATTGCCATAAGCATGCTGCAGCTGTGATGCTGCCACCCTCACTACTTTTCCTTGACAGACTGTTTGCATGAACAACATCTGCCTTTTCTGTTAAATTGAAGAGGCTCTAAGAAAATTTCTGAGCCTCTTTCACCCATCAGGAGGGGAAACGGGGGGAAAAATTGAAGCTTTTTTTTTTTTTTTTAAATTTGATATAAAATGATAATAATGAAAATCAGCTTCCCTTCTGAATCACTAAATCCATATAAAAATAAAAATAATATTAAAAAAGGTAACTACTGAAATTGTATTTCAAATATAAATTATTTCTAAATATTTTCAAGAAAAAACATGGGACAAGGCAGCAAATGGATTTCACTTTTGGTGTGTGACACATGTAATGAAGTGTTAAAATTCTGCTCAGTTTCTCTAGCAGACTGTACTGAAGTATTATGAAACTACTCCAGCACTGCAGAGCAGAGTTGGACTTCAGTTAAAATGATCCTAGGGCAAAACAGTAAAGTATTGAAGGACTTTGCAATCTAGAGCTCTCAAAAAAAAATGAAGAAATGAAAGAAAAATACTAAATCTCTGAGCCTGAAATGACTCAAGAGCTTTAGAGTACCTCAGCTATTAGAGACCACTGATAATAGATAACCTTTTCTCATCTCAACTTTAAAAAAAACAAGGTGCAATGTGCAGTGAATGTTCGCTTAGCTCTTGAGAACCAAAAGTTCAACACCATTTGCACGCTGAGAGCACATGCTATGAGTTAACAGTATTAGAATACCTTGATCGAAAGTGTCTTCCATTTCTTGGAACCGGACTCTTCTCTTTGTTTGCCTTTGCTGGACTTGGGCAATTGTTTTTCCATCCCTGTCATCTCTCTTCTTTAGTATAGACACCAATCCTTCTGCAGGGGCAATCTATCAGGAAAGATTACCAAAAATCATTTGACAGTGATTAGCACAACAGATGTGAGAAATTAAAGCATAAGATCTTCTTAACAAAGGCTTTGAGGAGTAAATGAGAGAAATAGAAAACAAATGGTTTCTACTCTGCTTTTCTTAAACATCACAGTACTTGTGAAACTCTTCTTGAACAAAGAATTTCACAGCATGAAGGAATGCTGCAGTAGCATTCTGCTGTCTAGAAGGTGACTAAGATGACAATGTTTGCTTTGGTCACTATCAAAGTTAAGCATGCAATGAATACTTAGTATGATCTAAACCATACATCAGCTCCTTCATAAGCTCATGTTATTAAATCATGTGGGCTGGGGCAGTGGGCTCCAGTCAAAACCACTCACAATAGAGGACAGTAAGAGGTCAAAGACACCACAGCTGCCTTTCGAAAGACATAATCCTGCAGAGCCTATCAAATACTTATTGTGAGATTAATTTTTCAGCATTGTGATTGGTTGCCCAAGGGAGAAAACAGGCAATAGCAGAGGACAAACAAATAAAAACACCAGGGGAAAAAGAAATCTTTGTGCTTCTGGATAAGTGTCAGCTCCATATTGTTATAAGCTCTCTGGATAAAGCACCAGTTCAAAAATGCTTCTCTGCAGTGATACATTCAATAAGTCATTAACTGACCTTTCTTACTTCATTTGATTTAGCTGCAATAGTATATACTTTTCTTCCCACAAAGCCATATAAAGATGTTAGATCAAGGAGAAGTTTATAATTTCCTAATGATTATAGGAAGAAAAATAGGAGAAATATTAGAATAAAAATGCATAATGGAGAATTAAGAATGCTATCATGAACTGGCACTGTGAAGGTCCTCCGCCAAATGAATTAGTACTGATTACCCTGGGTGTTTGACCTTCTAAACGAAGCACAAGAGTTACTATTTTCCCCAACAAAACTTTCATCAGTTAAAAATACAAACCAAACCACCTTTCTTTGTAAAACTGTGTCCAGAAAGTAATTTTTCCTATTTATATACCAGGAAATGTTTATCCTAATTACATATCAGAAAATGTTTTTCCTTGTTACAGCAAATACACCACGCAACTAGATCCTTACAAACAAAAGTACCAGCCAATTTTCTGAAGTCAAAGAAAAGGGAAACAGAAAAAGAAACACTGAGTTGAAACAGTAAAAGCAAGGGACAACATTAATGCAAAGGTACACGCTATAGGTACAGAACTATACTTATTACATTCAACTATCCCATCTTTCTTCCATTTCTGCCAAACATGGATGCAACTATACAACAGAAAAGGTCTTCAACAAGCAGAACTTAGGTGAGCAGTATACAGGAACATCTGAGTTTATAGACACTAAAAGTGGATTTGCAGGATACATTACTTGGGTACAAAAACCAAAGCTAAAATTGCCATGGTAGCAGTATATGTTGGCTGTGAAGCAGATGCCAATAGGGGGTCACTCAATGAAACCCTGCAACTGGGTTTCCAGGATCATGTGCCAAACATGCTAACATACTGACAGACTGTGCTTTAGCAAACTAAAATGGTTCAAGAACATGCTGATATTTCACAGGTGTAACAATCTACATGCTAATGTTAGCATTCAGTTAAACTAAGTGTAAGAGTCACTGCTTGAGTGCTTCACAATTCTGTTTTAAAGCAGCTACTGTTTTTCTTTCATTACCATGCCCCTTTAATGAGAAAGCACATTGTTTAAAGTTATTACAAATACAATACATTAAGCAAGGAAGAAAATTTATTGATGAGACAGAGGCTTGACACAAATATCACCTAAGCATTATCTAAAACATAAGTACTACCTAAGAAACACAAACAGAAGCAAATGCTATTCCTTAATCCTACAGTCACCATGCTCTTCTTATCTTGAAATCTTTCTTTTCTGAAAATAAGTCTTATTCATCTCTCCATAAATTTGAGTGATCCCTTTTAAAACCTATTTTGTATATCATTGATAACCTTTGCTACATTCAAAAGTAATCTGTATTCATTTGTGCTACAAGTAAGAAAACATACCACATCTGCAACTGAGTTTGCAACTCACGTATGTAGCAGACATGAGCCAAAAACTCATGGTGAAGAGACAACTTTCCAGACAATACTATAGTTGCAGACAACTGGCTGCCTAACCATCCCATAATCTAACCAATTTATAAGACCATGCAATTACAAGAGTTGTGGAGAACAAAAATGAGTGACTTCATAACTTAAGGCCCTAACCTTGCTTATGTAATGCATCAATGCAAGCTATGATCAGAGAGATGGTGTGCTGAGCACAAATGGAGAGCACAATCCAATAGGCATTGCCCCAGCTGTGCTATTTGGCATTTAACTGATAAATATGACAATTAAATTTGATGTATCCACTCCGGTGGTATTTTACACCCCTCAGATGTTGACCACAACAACTCACAGAGCTGGTCACTGTGGATACATATTTATATATATATAAATATATATATTTTTTCCCAAAATGCAACTGAGAAGATAAAACTGATCTCTGATGCACTTCCCTTTCAATACTCACTTTCCCTTTTGATCATCTGTGTAAAAGCTTGAGTGGTTTAATGAAACAATGCAAGGAAGTACTTATAAAGTAGTGAAAGTGTGAAAAGAAATTGTTTAAATCAGAATGTGGAAGATTGCTAGGTGGTACCAATGAAGCAGCAGTAACAGCCTGCATGCTTCTCACCGCAAGAAGCGTGCTGGGTTGAAGCTCCTACTGGTGATGTTGAATTAGCTTTGCCGAGCTGCCATGAAAATTTATCAGGTCAACCGGAAAATAAATACTTATGCTTCCATGTTGTGACAAGGATGGGGGACTATGGAGGAGTGCATTAATTTGACTCATTTATTTAGGAGGGCAAGATGACATTATGTCCTCTAAAAGAGTGGATTATTTTAAGCTTCTGTGTATCGCATTGCTTTTATAAAGAGGATCAGTGGCTCCTCCTGAGCCACCCACACAGCACTCTAGCTGCTGCCAGATATGCCTGCTCACATTTGGTTCTGATAGCACTTGGGAACCTCACCTGGGTACAGTGGGGTATTTTTACCCCTGTCCTAAGAGTAGAGTGCAGCAGTCTTTTCCACACACTTCATTTTGTCTTTTGGCTCCTGCTAGTTCTTGTATGACTGTGTCACAGGCTCTGTCTCCTCCATGCTGAAAAGCAGAGGGCTAGGTCTGATGGGATTACCTGGAAATATGTCCCAGCGATTACAGTTATGTAAAAGGCTTGCTACAATGAAGCTCTCACTTCTGCTGCCAGCACCCGTGAACGTTTCAGGATTTACTTCCAAGTGTTAAAGACCTAACTGATACAGCACAGTTTCTCTACTCTAAACATATTCTTTCCCTTAAAAAGAGTGAGCAATGGCTTTTGATTTTGCAACACAATCATTATGGTAATGTTACGCTCCTGACCCAGCAAGAGCCATAGATCACACTTTTAAGGCTCTCTTTGATCAGAATGTCTTTACACCATATGCAGTTCATACCTACATTATTTCATCCACTTTTCACCTGACATGGCATCTAGATTTTCCTTTTGTTCTGCAAAGCAACTACAAAGCTATGCCTCCTATTCAGGGACAGCTTATTCTTAAAATGCAAATACAAATACAAGCATATGGAGTTCTGCACAAAACCATGATTACAGCTTTCTTTCTACTACATTCTCAACTGCAGCTGAAAACTGTCTAACACAAATACCACGTTCTATTTTTCTTATTTTCAGTCATTAAAATATCATTACTTTACTTAGGACTGTCACATAAGAATAGTGCCCATCTCACTACAGATAAAATCTCATTCAATTAAAACAACTTTAAGTAAAATATTTTTTCTTGCACCTTTCATTTAGAAAGACTTCAAAGCAGTATACAAATGGATTACATTACCATCTCCCACTTACTAAACAGCCATAAAAAGCAGCAGAACAGAGATATAGCAGCCATACAAGACTAGAAGGATTCCATGCCGGTGTTTGAGGTAGGAGGAATTGAAATTATATAATGAAAAAATCATTATATAAATTTGAATTTAATGAGGGAAGTGTGGTTAATACAGCTAACCACAAGTCAAGCCTGTGCTTGGCTTGAACTACAAAAGGAAAAATGCAGGCCTGCACCAGGCCATGCTGTGGGCTGTTCTGTGTGGCATAAAAGAGCTACAGGTAACAGACACGGATTTTTTTCCTTAATTCCAGGTTAAATAATTAACAACAGATGCTATTGGGCTTTCTATGTAACTGAGAGTAGTTACTCAGCCCTGCTGGCCTCGATAAAACTATTTGAGTGGAGCTTTCGCAACAGCCATCCAAAATCTGCCTGCAGATGATACCAAGCAAACTTAAAACTACAGGACCTGAGCCATACAACTGGATCTCAACAAAACACTGTTTCCACACTTCATGCAGGTAGGTGAAGGCTTCATTTCTGCACCCAAATCAGCTGCCATTCAGTACATATTCAGTAGATTTTGAAATCTTTGTATACAAAAAGTGCAGTCCAAAGCTACTACTTTATACTGTGGTAAGGAGTCTCAATACTTCTACTTTCTGAAACAATTTCCAAATGCTAATTGGCCATTAAGAAAAAAACCAAAATTTTATTCATTTCCCTAATAATCTCGTAGATACAAAGCTCTATTTCATACGACAAAACACACCTTACATTACTAAGGTTACAATTTGTGTGATTTCTGGTGTGCCATTTCATCATGTACTTCTGAAAATCTGTAACTGCCAACTGTTGATATGCTCTTTACTAGGTGTATGAAGGCACTTTCTATATAGCTTCAGTGATTTCCCATCATTTGCACACAAGTTTGCATGGATAGTATTAGTAAAGAAATACCTAGTCCAACTGACTGTAAAATATGTAAAACACTATTTCAGTTTTCAAGTTATTTAAAGCCAGAAAAAAAAATTAGCAGATTTTCAATCTTTAATTAATTATTGCAAATAATAGCCTAAAAGCAAGGGACATAAAGGATCTGAATTACAGAACACTGTGAGACAACTGTGCTCAATATGGGGTAAAAAAAATCCCTTCCGACACAAGTATTTATCATTTCCCATTTACAATAAATCAATTTTACACCCCCATTGAATAATATTGGTCCTACCACATGATTTTTGTACCTAGTTTGTTTCAAAACTGTCTTTATCTTTGCCCTCCATTCTAACTTATTTGTGACAATTTTGTAACTATTTGCTACAGGAAAAGTTTGGTTAAAGTCACACTGATCGACTTTTTTTTTTTTTTTTTTTTTAATTGTCATACTGGCACATTTCATTTCATGTAAGGATTTGTTGTTGTGCCTGCTTGTGTCTACACAATGTATTTGTAGTACTTCTTTCATAATTATTGTATGAAAACATTGTAAACTTACTAGATGGCCACAGCCAGAACAACTCAACTTCAAAGGCAGACAAGTAGAACAAGAAAGGAAAAAACGTTATTGTTGGATGCAAAGATCAGTCTGCTTGTGAAAACATCATCAGAATCTTATTTTAGCACTAAAACAAAGTCAGCGTAAGTAAATGGTGGTCATTTCTGAGAGGTGCCATGCTCTGACAGTTCCTGGTGCCTTCCAAGGAAGTTGCAGGTGAACAGCAAGTCTGAAATGCAGCCCCTAGGGTAATGACTGGCAATAAGATTAATTGGGAAAACAAAAATGTATAATGAAACAATACAGGCTACACACCCTGCTACACCTAGCAACTTCAGGCATTGTAAAACAAGCCCAGACATTGCATATTACAAGTTCTAATTGGTGTCAAAATGAATGCATCTTTGCTTCTCCCTGATTTAATCCCCCAGCCCTACATAGTTCAGTTCTCTTCCTAAGAAAGACTGGAAAAGACTCCAACCAGTGACAGCCAACATCATGAGCTACATAGCAAAAATATTTAAAAAAATGCTATGGAAAGACTCAAGGTACTTTTTACCTCTCTAGAGATTCAGTTTTGCCATCAGAGTACTGGCAGTACTAGCAGTAGGACAGTGAACTAGAAATGACACTGGATTCCCTGTAAAGCACTGTCGTCATTGGCCACTGCCCCAATCAATACAAGCATCACTATTCTAACAGTATCAATATGCTCCTTCCTATGCAATCCTTTAAAATGCAAGTGGCTCAAGCATAGCAACTTAAAAATAGCTGCTATAGGGTTAATTTATGATTTTTCTACGTAAAACAATTTTCTCCTTGGAAATAAGTGAACATAAGACAGTGGATCCAGCGCAAAGTTTGATTACCTAAACTAATGTATATGCGGGATCCCACATGTATGTGCTGTGAAGAGCTCATGTACAGCTACCATTGAATCCAAAAAAATTGAAGTAAAACCAGCTTTGTATACAGGACCTTCTGTCCTGGTATGTAACATGCTTCCTGACATCCCACAGAAAGACAAGGTGTCTTAGGGGTGATCAGGATGCCTGATACTGCAAGGGAGAAAAGAAGCTACTTAGTGGGGAAAAAAAAAACCAACAACATAAAATGCTTTGTTTCCAGCTCTGGAGATTTTGCCAAAGATGTAATAACATCAGCGTGCATCTCCAGTATTTAGTTCCCCGCTTGGCTGCAGTCTGTGGGTGATTATGGGTCTTGATCTACATGTATTATCTTCTGATCTGTAGAAAAGTACTGTTACTTTTTATTGCCAAGGGATGTTGCACTGTTAAATTCATTAAAAATAGAGACGAACCAGCAAGACACCTTCTTTTGTCTTTCCCCTTCAGCAACTGAAATCACATAATTTCAAAATAATCCCATCTGTACATTTAAAGGGAAAGCTTTTACAGTCCAATATTTGCAATTGCAACAAAACCAGAAGACAAAGTGAAGAAGGCATCACACACTCTCTGACCAAGACATACAGCAATAAAATTTAATATATATATATTCAGAAGAGCACTTCAGCTTGCGAAGCACTTATCCTTGTTGCGGCCCATGGTGAGTTCAGGTTTAGAAGTTCTTCCATAAGTTTGGTTGAACAATAAAACTGCCTGAGCCTGGCAAACTTAGAAGCCCATACATGCATTTATGGAGTTTATTGCATATGCAGCTCTTCTCACCTTTAGTCGGATTGGAAAAGTAAATTTTATTCTTTGAATAGAATAAATCCATGTTATAAATATAGGTATTATGCAGACCTCTCAAATAAAATCATAATTTAACAGGAACTCTCTCCTCTCTCCTAACAGTTTATGTTACAAATAAAAATAGAGTTCACACTAATAAGTAAAAATCAATGTGATTTTTAGATGCACAGAGCAGCACTTACCAGAAGGACGCAAACAGAAAAAAGGGAACTTTTCCTCTGAATTAACTCAGAACAAGTAAATACATACAGGTTTCAGATTAAAGAAATTAGAGATATTGAACACATTTTGAAGTAGTCAATACCTAAAATATTTTAATTGAGATAACATGGAGGGTTTTATAGGATTCACAATATTTACCTCAGCAATCTCTATCCTTCTTGCAAGTTCATCAAGAGAAGAAAAGCTGTCATCCAGTGATAAAGCTTCCAGTGAGTTGTAAGATGCTCGTTCAGGTGAAATATCTGGGACAGTGTTAAATTCTTCTTGGTTTGCTAAGTTTGCAAATGATTCTTCAGTGTCTATTATGTTGCCATTTAAAAATCTGAGATAGACATCTTCTTGTTCTTCACTTTTTACCTTTTCCTCCTGTCCTGCTGCTCTCTGCATTTCCTTGCATACTTGTGAATGGGCAGTACTCTCATGCTCGGATACTTTACTACTTTCAGAGCATACATTTGAAGCAGTTCTGTCCTGGGAAGATTTTTCATCATCGTCATCATTAGGCCGTTTCTGTTGCTGGTTTAAATCACTGTTTCCGAAGTGGCCACTAGTGATTTCTGAAGAGCTAGCAACAAGTTTTGATCTGAGAAGATTTTTATCAGCTTGTACATCTTTATCAGTAGAAACCAAATCAGCAGGCATATAATCAGCATCTGTTAAAACCAAGGTGTCTACCATTGGCCTGGGAGAGAATCTCACTTCGGGTTTGCCAGCTGTCTCTTCTATTTTTTCCGCATCCTTAGAGATCTGCTTTTCTCTCAGCAGCAAACTGTTATCTTTGCCAGCATCCCCCGATGATAAACAGCCCGGGGAAGGCCTGCCCACTGTCCCTGTGGACTGGGTGTGTGGCTCCAGTGCTGATTCTGCACTGCAGTGCTGCTCCTCCATGTGGTCCTTTCCTGCAGCTACCAGAAGACTCACTGCCTCCTTCTGCTCCTCAGTTTGCTTTTCACCGCTAGGACGGGTGCTCGGCTGTTGATCTTCTTTCTTTGGTCGGTTGCCAGGACAAGTTTCAGTACCTAAGTGTGACAGGAAAAGAGTTGCAGTGTTTTTAGATGATTCAAAGCATCAGCAGAGAGGAGAAAGAGTATACTGTGATTTGATAACGTTGTAATCTAATCCTTAAGATGCGCTCCCATAAAGGACAGGTCTTTGTGCTTCAGGCAAATAAAAATGTTGTAGTCTGAAAAGCTGACTCCTGATTTGACAGTGTTTATGTGCATTCTTACAGGCTGAGCATACACTTCAGTGTCCACCTGAAAAGAGAGAGAGTCACTCTCATGCTTTCAGAAAAATATGTACTCAAGTGTCTTTCTGAACAGCTAGGTTCCTTCTAAAGCACATTTTAGTGGGAACACATTATGGAGGCCTGAAGCACAAATAAATGCACTTAATAACTACTGAAAGCTGTATTTTGATGCCAATGTATCTACTACTCAGGAAGATCTCATTAGTTCTTTAAGAAAGCTGAAATCATGCTAATTTAATATATTTTAAATTACATTCTTTTAAGTGGGTAACGAGCTCCTTTGATTAATCATGAATTAAAAATCCAGCTATAATATTTTATGTAACACTGTCTAACAAGTTGCTTTTTGGATGCTAGTTTACATATAAAAAATGGGATTCAGCTTATTTACGTGTTCATATTTACATTACAAATAGAAACTGATTTCTCTTGTGAAATTTCAGAGAGAACTGAAAGGAACTCTACATAGCTTGTGATTCACCTACCATTGATATGATCTGCTAATGAAGGAATACATGGTTGGTCTGAGTTGTGCATGAAATTACTAGACATTAGCCATTATAAGAATTTCAAAGTCAAATCTTGCCCTTAAGGATTATGAAGAGAGAAAGAGTATTCAGAGCTAACTCCAACAGAAATGATCTTTTTTCCCATACTTTAATAAAAACTAAGTTAAGACTACGTTGTAGAGGACTACTGTTACAGTAATAGTAATAGCTCCAAACAAAAAATTCCTACTTCTAAAAAATGCTTGTTTGCATTTTTTTGGGTCACATCCAAAAGCAGAAAGGTCTCATAAATAGATTAACAAAGAGATCAAACACTGCCCTCATTAACAGAATGTGTTTTGACAATGACTGAAGATTTCTACGATAACCTCATCCTCCCCCACCTGTTAAAACATCACTTTAAATCTGAGTGCTTTCCTTCACTTTTTACATGAAATAAGGTCACATTCTTTTGTCTTTTAAGAAATGTTCACATTAATTCATTTTATTGAACGATTTTATTAAATTCCATAGTATCCCCATTTTCAAAGACAATGAAGTACAAGGCAGCATAAAAAAGACAGGCTGGGGAATTAAAAAAAAGAATATTCAGCCATCTCAAAATGCAGACAAAAATCAGAACGAGATTAACACTTGGAAGGGTATTGAGAACCTGGCTTATGAATGAAGAAATGGCTATGACACAGGGACTTTTTGAAAAATAGGCACAGATGAGTAGATAGCCCAAGGGATTTGTAATGGGATACTGAGCCTCTCACGTATAGGTCATGAGGTCAAACACAGCCTGGATTATTAGGACAAGATTTTGTTACCATCTGTCAATTTTTCCTAGTGAATACATCTATGTTACAATAGGCATCTTTGTTGGCAGTGCCAATTGTAACATCAAAGATTAAATGGAATCAGAAATTAAATCGAACTCATTACAGTGAAAGATGGCCCTTGAGCTCTACAGGCTTGTATTCCTAAGAAATAATAATTGATCCCAGCACCGCTAGCTGCCTACAGAGGTACAAGAATCGAGATGTAATGATCACTGCTACATCCCATGTCAAATTTTCAGCACCTTTTAATATGTTCTTTATACTCATTTCAAAACACTTCCTAAGACAACTCATACCTGCTATATGCTCAAGGCAAGTTAAGACAAATACTCAAAAGACTTAAATTAGAGAAGATGCTTTTCTTACTAAATGAAATGTACCCACCAAAGTGGCAGCAATTTTTATCCGTAAGAGACATAACAAAGGTTCTACAGAAAATTTTCTAGCAGCAAAAGCACTTGCAGCAATTTAGATTTTTTTTTTTTTTTCATGAACAGAGTTCCTATAAATCTGCCACTTGTTTTGTTCATGGCAGAAACCTGTAGTCACCACTTTTTCATTCTCTTTATACAAGGCTGTCTAGCAGAGAGTGCTGAGAATGCTACCTGTGAAGAATTCACACACCTCCATCCTTGCCTCTCCTCCCTGTGTGCCTTAAGACAACTAATAAGAAGTTTATCCCCACCTTGGAAATTGGGCTATACGTGCACGCACTGCAAACTGGTGCTAAGTGTGCCATTAAACTCATCATTTCTTTAGAGAATGCTTCATGACACATGAGCTCGATTACCTTCAGTGAACACCAAGGTCATTGAAGTTTTCAGTTAGAAACCAAATAAATTGATGAATATAGAGTGAATCAGCTCTCGTCCTTTAATATATACACATAGCTTTAATGGGTCAGTCTCTCTGCTGGTAGAATCAAAGATAAAATCTTGCAGAGAGAAAAGAGCAATAGAATATGAATTCACATGAAGGACTGCCTTCAAACCACTTGAGTGTATCCTTTTCCTGTCTAGCTGTAAGTCATATTTTTACTAGCAGTTCAGTAGCTCACCCTTCATTTTGGAAGATACATTTCTATGTAGAAAGTAGGAAAACAAAAACAAAACAAAACAAGATTCATTCTGAGGTAGGAAAAAAGCCCACAAAAGCAGATGGTAAGCATTTTAAGTTTGCAATGAGAAGGCCCATGCACTTGGGCCAATGCTGAAGAGGTTAGTTTAAATATTATAAACAGTAGAGTTGTAGTAGCATAGGATTCTGCTGGAGTTCAGACAAAATTACGAATTATGAAATGCAAATATTGCTTCTACTCCTTATCACTGGAGCACTGTACAATTCAACCACAGTTTGGCTATTTTTTTATGCAGCACTCAGTGAAATATACAAATCCAGAGTTATGGATCATCTCTGTTCATTTTCTGCACTAAGTTTATACTGGTAACCTCCTTACACAAATCCTAACTGTGACAAAAGCCCCATGCTGCTGACATATGGACACTGCGAGGGGCAGCATGACCACTGTTTTTATTAAAAGATGCACTGCCTTAACAAATCAAGAGATCAGCCAGAGTAAGGAGTCGCCTCCTCAAGAACATAGTAACCTTGTGAGAGGTGTCTCTTGTAAGTCCTATGTGTTTAATCTTGAGTTACACTTGAAATATTCTTAACTTTGTATTGAAAAAGTATTTAGCACTGCTAGAACAGCTTTCTATTGATATACATAATTTTATTAATTTTCAAACATTTCACAGGAACCCAAAGATTTTGATGTTTTGAAAACACTTACAAAGGAAGTCCATTTATACCATCAATTAATTACACATTAATTTTAATATGCCTAGATGCTGTGATTTAACAATGAAACAAAATGGTACTTAACTCGCAAGTTTCAAAAGTTCAGAACTTTTTGCTCTCCAGAAAGCTGTTGTTCCCACTTGGAACAAAATCAATGACCAAATTGCAAGTGTCTAATGTTTTTCCATGTTCTTTCAACCATCCAAAACTAAAAAAGCATTCAGTCCTTTTGATCTGCTTTCTGAGTTGTAGAGAATGTTTGTTCTGTATTTTGTTTTTAGTTTGGTTTCATGAACAAAGACAGAGAAGGGGCAATATAGTGGTTATCGTAGAAGAGGATGAAGATGAAGAGAATCCACATATTTAGAGAATTGCCATTAACTCCAAATTCTCCAGACCTTTCTGGATTCAGGATGAAATACACTTGTAGAATAGTTTACGTTGAAGGGGACCTCTGGATGTTATCTAAGTCAACTCTCATCTTGTGAGAAGTTACAGCTGTTTTTGAGGAAATGTTCTCAGTTTAGGCCTTTTTTGGCAACTTGAATACAGCATAAAAAAACATTTTAAGCTGAGATAGAAGATGAAGTGTAGCATAGTAGTCAAACAATGCTCTTTTCCTCTCTGTCTCCGCTGTAACAATTTACTAATTTTCAGTGATTCCAACACCTTACACAAATAAAGCAGCTGCTGCCCCAAGGCAGGAGGAGGAAAATGAAACTGACATAAAAGCATGTACTGAAAAAAATCAGCTGAAGTATAGCTTGTTCTTCTAGACTAAAAAGCTCCTTAATTTTCTGTTCTGTTTACAGAAAGATGTGGCTTATAATCATTATATTATACTGAAATAAAAATATTTTCTAATACTTTTAAATATATCAAATGGCCACAATTCAGAACATTTATCATTGTTTATGTATCTTATCTTTAGTTTGACACAAATTTTAGCTTAGGGAGGCTGCTATAAATGCACATTCATCTACAAAAACCTTTTCTGATAGAGGCCAGAATTACTTTACTACACTTCTGAATATCAATGACTAATTAAAATTGCATAGTATGTCCATTGTGCAATTGTAGTGAAAAAATATGAAAAAATGAATCAATTTGTGGTAATCCAAAAGTAGCTTCAAATGAAATAGCTTTATATAGTATTCATATGAATACATCATTACAAGATATTATTTCAAACAAATGCATGTACATACATACACACATACCTGATTTGAAAGCAGCAGCTTCTCTTTCCTTTAAATGCTCTGATCCTATTAACTTGAGCAAACAACTGCTTTCTGATGTATTTTCTGCGACTCCTGGCTGTAAAATATGACGGTATTTCCTTTAATATTGGAGCTTAAACAGGAATACTATGACTTTTTGAAACATTCATGCTTCAAACAATTTCTATACTAAACTGAAAAAACTAAAGTAATGTTAAAAATGCATTTATTAGCAACCTTCAGCAAAGCAGAAGTTACAGAAATGGCTGCTTACCTTATTTTTGGGTGCCTGCGGCCTGTGGCAATAAAGAAAAAAAGGCATAAATTACATTACTCAACAACAGCATTCTTCATAACAAATGTCATTGAAATCAGTGGCGTGCAGTGACAGGACAAGGGGTAACAGGCAAAAACTGCAACAGGAAGTTCCATACAAATAAGAGGAAGAACTTTTTACTGGGAGAGTGCACTGGAACAGGCTGCTCAGAGTCTCCTCTGGAGGTGTTCAAGACTCATCATGATGCCTTCCTGTGCAACCTGCTTTAGCCATGATCTTCAGAGATACCTCCCAACCTTGTAGTTCTGTGATATTGTCATCTAAATTCCTGTACAACTTTATGCTAAAGGAGAACATTATCTATTTAAAAAATGTAAGGGCGCAATATCTTCTAGTATAAAAACATTGATCGCTATAACAGATGTCGAGGAAAGAAAAAAAAACAACACCTCATCCTTATTTCTGTCCTCCTAGACTGTTTACACTGGGACCTATTTCCTGGGTATTGTATGATATAGGAGCTCCCACTGGTTCCACTGGGATTCACGGGTGTGTGTCAGCACTGTTAATCATGAGGACTTTGCAAACTGTGTAAACATTCATGCACAGCGTGTAAATTACAAAAACAAAAAGCTCATATTTTCCAAGACCCTGGCTTAAAGTATCATTTTAATTTCAAAATAAATTGATCTTAAAGCGTTGAAAACAAATATGAAACAAGAAAAGCAAATAGACTTTTGCCTGGAGAGGTTGGAAAAGTGATAATATTAAATATGGAGAACTAATCATGACAAATGAACACAATCCTTAATTTTTTCTCAAGTTGCAGGCTTCCTCAGGACTAGGAATGACTTTACATAAATGAATTTTTGTATGTAGAAGTGAAGCTGCTTGGAAAAAATTAGGAGGAGAAAGCTAAGTAATGTTTAACAAGGCAACAATTCATTGCCCAGGGAGGTGCTGCAAGTAGCAGCACATAAATCGTAATAGTCTTGTGTCCTAATTTTTGTGTGAGCTTGCAAGGTCACGTATAATGAAACGTAGGTTGAGGAACCCTGCAGGCACTCAGAGTAACCTTGCAGAAGCAGCAGCTGTGGCAGTAAACTTGCCATGCTAGAGCTGCCTCTTCCTCTTGTGGAAATGCAGGCTTTCTGTAAATTCCTTCCCAAACAAAAGTAAATAACCTCAGCCTGGGTTCTGACGGACGGCCTGGGAGTTTTCCAATTTCTGCAACATCACTCAGGAAAAAAATGTGGAAGATAAACCATATTCCAGGAACAACAGTATCCAGACTGACTAAGCCCATGCAAATATATCTGAAGAAGTTCTCTCTCCCCATCTGATTGAGAGTACCTTTTGGCTGGTCATTCTTCAGTGGTAGTTAGTATCATTTTTTCTGTCCTTTAAACTCAAGATCTAGCAGGTAGGACATTCACCAGTGAAATATCAGATCTTTCCCTGGGTCAATTGGACCCAGGGATTGGGTATAATCTCTTATGTGCTTATATTATCAAATTCACTGAAAGCAATGGGATGCAGATTTTATTTAAAATGGTTTTAAACAACCATTTTAAAACACACTGTAATAGTAAGCAGACAACAGCTACACTAATGTGTTAGCACTAAAGAAGTAACATTATACTTACTGTTGATGTGAAGAACAAACTTTAGTAAGCTTTTCCAACTCTTCACTACTCAATTCTTTAGCTGAATTCCTCAATGTTCTATCTGGACTAGAGACTGCTGCTTTCCATTTTCTTTCTGAATTAAATCCAAATATCCAAACTATTACAGAAGTAATATTTGCTTATCATAAAACATGCATATTAAACTAATTCATGGAAAAAAATTATCAACTACTCCACTGTCACGCTCTACAATCTTGTTTCAGACTGTGTAAAAAGGATCATATTTTGCCATAACATGCTTTATTTACATCACATCAGATTGAAACTTGAAGTAAAAATACACCCCCAAAAGCTATGGGGCTTATAGATAATAAATAAATTATTTGCACTTTTTTCATGAACCATGCACGAAGGGGTCCAAAGAAGGAATATTCTTCTCATAACAAACTAGAGTAATCTGGGTATAAATGTATTTCTGCTTTTTATTGGCTTTAAGCTTGCAAAACAAACACTCTGTTCTTTACAAAGGCAAAACAAGTGAACTCTTCCTACTATCATATTAGTTTAGCCTGTACTTACCCCACTGCTCCTGTATAGAAGAAAGATTTGCAAGCAGTTGTTCATGATACAATCGTTCAAGCTGAATGAACTTTATTGCCTTCTCATCTTAAAGGCTGGTTAAAGAAAAATGCACACTCATGCGGCCATACTACTATTTCTTTATTTTTGACATCATATTTGAATGGAAAATTGTTATGTACCTGAAACATCATTAAGTCAGACTGAACAATAATTAGCATCCGGATCTCTGTGCAAGGGAGAAAATGAATAGAGCAAATAAGAACAAAGATAAGTTCCAAAAATGAAAGCTCTATTCTTTTCAGGAGTTACCCCTTTACATGTCTTGTAGCCAATGGAAGATTTTCTAGAAAAGAGATGAGCAACACAGAACTGTGCTGACTGTAAGGTAAATCAAAGCTCTTGGAAGTGAAAAGCAAAACAATGATACAAATGCTAGTACATATCTCTCAAGAAATACAATTTTGTGTCAGTAAACATAACTAACTGAAAATACAACTCCTTTTACTCATCAGCTGGAGATTCAACACTGTTGGACAGCCATAACACCTTTTTTCTTTTTTGTAAAGCTTCTGCTTCATTTTTTTCTCCATGAAGAACTCTTTCTCTCCCTTAGGGTTATCATCCTATTTGTACAACTATCAATGTATCTTTATAATCTGTAATAGTGAGGGTATTTCTAGCTCCATCAAACTCGAGTTGTTTGTTGTTCTGCTTAAGGCCACATTTATCAGCTATTTCAAATTTAATTATACAGTGCAATGAGTATAGAAGTATTCTGAACAAACTTATTAATAATATAGAAAAAATAATTTCCATTATTCATTTTAATTAAAATATTGAAGTAATTATAAAAACATAAGAGGTATTTGTAATTTTTGTTAGGCTCATGCACCATATAAATGGCATGGCTTATAAACAACAATATTAACAGAAAGAATATTCCTTGCCCTCGAGAATTCTGTTACTGGGAACAGAAATAGAGATCAGAAAGATAGCCTTAGAGGATCACAGCAACAACCCTGAATTATTGTTAAATATGCAGTTCTACACTGGATGAATTAAAATACCCATCATGGATAATTAACACAATGTAACATGATCAAGTAAGTTCTTTATTAACCTTAGGAAACTGATGGCTGCAAGTACAGGGGAGATTTCCTTCATAAATATGTATTATACTGTGGTGTTGAATTCCACGTCAGGTATATATTGCACTTTAAATATATCCTTTGTTCAGGTATAAATATAAGGCTCCTCCACTAAAGCAATTTCTATGACAGAGAAACTGTATTTCATCATAGAATGGCCTCAGAAGGACCTCAAAGACCACCTAGTTTCAATTCCCCTGCCATGGGCAGGGTTGCCAACCACTAGACCAGGCTGCCCAGAGCCATTTCTGTCATACTGATGGATGTTTTTTAAGATTTAGTGTATTTTTCCATGAATAGCCATAATGTTCCTGCAGAATTTTTCTATTCTGTAATTTGTACTATAAATTTTTGTTTTCTTTTTTTTTTTCCTTCTTGTGATGGATGCTTTTGAAGACAATGATGGGTAATTTCACATATTACCTTTAAAACATTGCTACAGCTGTTGCCCTGTTTTTATACCATTGCTAAATATAATTTGGCAAGATTTAAAGATACATTACTGTGTTTCTTTTGCTTTGTTATTTAATCATTATAATTGCTCACATGCTTCGTATTTTTTTACAAATTACATAATAAATAATGTGTATGCACAGACTTTGTTAAATTCATGACACACCTTAGTGAATCATATACACATGAAGGGCTTACAACTTTCCTCTTCTTTTTACAGCCTGAACATTTTTCTTCAAAAGCAAACAGAGAAATAGCTAGTCCAGATTTAAAATATATATATACTTCAAGGTTTAATATAATTATTAACTCCCAGAATTACTGAAATATCTTAATTGTTACCAGTTTGACTATTCAAATTTATTGACTAACCTTGTTTACATTATCTAGGAATAAATCAAACTAATCACTTGGCTGTTCCCAGAGGCAGTCAACCCCAGTTTCCTGTGACAGTTTTTCAAACTACTTTGGCATGACTTTGAATAATTAGCACTTGACAAAGAACACGTTGCTGTTGCATGCAGGTTACTGATCTCCCTTAGCACAATGTGCTTGGTATTTTTATTCTAATTTAGACACTAATCGTTGACAGTCTAGTCAACCACTGTGATAATCTTGTTCTTACTATGACAGTGCCCTGTTTGATATAACAGAACATAAATCCTATCTAGATTGGACATATTTTCAGTTATTAGAACATTGAACAAAACTTTTTTTTATCCTATAAAACAGATGTCCTTTAAAAACATTTACTTTCTTCCTCATTTCTGCACAACTATAAACAACTTTATCAGCACAGTTTCTGAAAGTGGACTTATTACTTAAATTATATTCCAGCTGTCTGATTAGGGAGGAACTGCTAACATACTGTATATTCACTCATGAGTAAATTATGGCTCTTTGTTTCTTTTTAACCCTGACCCACAACCTGTGAGTCACCGTCAAAGTATGTATTTTCTGTTTTATCATGTCAGATTATTTTAATACCACATAACAAATTTTACAGGTAAAAAGATACATTCCTCCTCTTGAAAATAGGTCTCAGCTATCTGAAAAGGAAAAAAAAAAAGCAGGAAAATTAGCATTCCTTCATTTTTATGAGAGTGGCAGGGATATAATTTGAACTTTTCATTATAGCTTTAAATGTCTGCTTTGCAGATTCATATTTAGTTTTGAGAGAATAGAAATATTTAGACTAAATGCATGTACTCTTATTCTAAGAAAGATGCTTAAAGAGAATATCAAACAAAGATATCGTAAGTTTACCTGCACAAACAAATTTGCTCAAATATATGTTGGGTTTTGTCTTGTTACAACCACATTTATTTCAGCAATTTTTAAAAATGATTATATTAGAAAGTTACAAGATGACAGAAGCACTGTGTTTAATGATAAATGAGTTTTATTTCTATTACTGATCACGATGTAACATCATTGTCAAGCTCTCCTAAGCATTACAGTGCAATGTGATAAAATGGAGAAGTAGAGGCTTCCTGGCTAATGATAAAACAACAATCTCTGGATCAAAGATACTGAAAGTAACACCTACAGCAAGATCAGAGATATACCAGCAAGCTTCCTGTTTATATCCCATTTACAACATTTCAGATTTTAAGCATTTGAAATTCATGAGATAAACATGAGAGAAATGAATTTCTTCTTTTTTTTTTTTTTTTTTTGTTACTCCCAGTTCACCAGCAGAATCCAGACAATAGCACTGCAGGAACCTTCTTTCACTTTCTTTCATGAAGCTATTCTTCTCTGTTAAAAAGATCTAAAAACTCTCTGCTTCTTATGTCATTTCCCAAAGCATAGCACCTTGGAATCTGAAGCTCTTTCAGAAAAGAACGGGTCATATAGTTCAGCCAGACAGCAGCTGTTTGATTAGAATTGTTGCTGTTATGACAGAACAAAGGTGAGTCTTTTCCTCCTAAAACTGACATTTCTATAATTAAAACGGGGTTTGTAACAGGACAGCTCTACCAAAGAAGACCATCCTTCCCCTCTGACAAATGGTCTTAGAAATTTACAGCATGAAAAACTTATTTGTGCTTGCCAGAAAAGTAGGTAGACTTTTCTTAGAAATCAGAAGAATAGTGATGTGCTTATTGGTAAATGCAATATAAACCTCAGAAGTAAAAACATGTTTTTCAAACATCCCAATACAAATTGCTTGATATGTCTTTGGAAGAAAGAGAATGTGTTTGGTTGACATGTTTGAATACGGAAACCCAGACTGTGCTTTCAGTTCTGTCACAGTTTCTGTGTGACTTTGAAAAGGTTGTTTGCCTTAGGGTTTGGCTTCCTCACGTAAGAAGCTGTGAACAGATTTCATCTCCACTGCGGTCAATGACACTCCTTCATGTTTGTCAAGAGTTTTGAAATTCTTGCCCTAACGGTATTGTTTTCCAAAGTAGACCTTTGTACTGACTCATAGATAAACACCAAATCTGACATGGCTGTAAGTACAAATGGTTAACCTTAATGCTAAGCTTCAAATAAATTAAAGAACGGTAAGAAATAATTTCACTTAAACACAAATCTTAAAAAAACACCAACAAAATGAACAAAAACAAAAAACCCCTCCTATGTTAAATGTGAAGCATCTATAACTTGCGATGTGAAAAAGAAGCCTCTCCTAACATCATCTCTCATCTCTATCAAAAGAGAATAAGAATGCAGGTTTACCATCATAGTGAAAATATTTAAAATATTACAGTGGTCCAATTTTCCACAATAAGGACAATGTAACTAAGTCAAGTCAGACACTACCATGTCTCTATAGCCTATGAGTCACTTCAGCCAAACAACAAGTCTTCCAGCCCACTGTTAGTCCAACACAACAGAACTATGCATTAATAGTGCATTGAGTCCTAGCCACATACTTTTCAAAGTGTGCTTTTCAAATTACACAGTATTTCCTTCAGTAGTGCAGATGTGGTGACCGTGCTAGAAAAAGTATATACTAAGGAACCTTGAATCTTAGCATTCACACATGAAGTTCAAGCTAGAAAGAAGTCTGCAACAGCAAAAACAATTTCAGGTACAAAATGTGATTTAGACATCAGCTATCTTGCTTTTCTGTGTCCTAGATATTCCACTAGTGTCCTATATATCATGCAAAGGCTGTCTTTAAGAGTTTCCTTCAACAGCAGAATGTACTTCTGAGACAGCTTATAATTGAATATATATATATTAGAGTGGACATATTTGCCTTCATCCTCTGTTAAACAGCAAAACTTGAAAATACACTGTCCAGATATGAATACTGACATATGTTGAATCAATGCATCTTTTTCCTACTGAGAAAAAGTCTCAATCACAAAGTTGTGTGCAGCAATCCAGAATCATAGGAAGTACCTGATGGAGACACAGGGGCAGTGTCTTTGAATCCATCTGCTCAACCTCTTCACGGAGCAAAGAGAAAAGGGACTGCAACGTTTGTTTTTGTTCTTTTTGGTGAGAATTTTCATTTGCTTCAACAGCACCTTCAGAATGCACAGAATCTGTATGTGTAACAAGAGTATTTTCCTCCTTGATTGCTGTGGTTCCCACTGAAGGAACTCCTTTAAAAAGAACAAGTACTTAGGTTAGGATTCAAAAAAAATATGCTGAGCTGCATTTTTAGGAAATTTCAATACAAAAGCTGTGAATAAAATCTTATTATCTTAAATAATAGTCCTATGAGTAAATAAAATATTGGTCTTGTCAAAATTAGTTGCAATTGGTCTGTCTCAATGTCAGCTCACCTACCTGGAAAGACACAGTGACACAGATCAGCTATTTTTGTACACTACTAACTGGGACTTAACTTTAACTTGGCATGAAAAAAAAAAATCACCTAGCTTAAACTTAGAGTGATTAAAAAGAGACCAGGAAACCAAACTGAAGTGTTGTTGCTGATGTTATCTTCAGCAGCTAAAATCAATACTTAGGATCTCAGACCCAAGACACCAAATATCTGTTTTAAAACAGGTGAAAAGTTTTGCTCTGAATGGACTGAAAGAAGAAAAGAAAGAACAGTGAGTTCCTGAAAGGCAGGGAGTGCTTTGTGTTGAATAAGTACTCTACTTCCAGGAAAGAGCTTTGTTGGCTTGCTGAGACAAATGCCTGGAGAATGCACTGAATGGCTATGTCATGTAGGCTCTTGGCTGGTGTCTTCATGCCTGCTAAGGAGCTTGTAAAGGGAGAAGTCCAGGGAAGGAAGGGCTCCTGCTGAGAAGGTGAATTCAATCTGTTCTTTGGATGACAACACAGTGTCTCCTCACAGTGATGAATTTAAAGGATAGAAGGAAGCAGATGATGTGGGAATTCTGCTGTGGGACACAGACACTAGCAAGGATTGTGCTGCTCAGTGAAAACAAAAACATCCCTCTATAGCAAGATTGTTTGGGAGTCCAGGAGATGAGCCAGTAATGATGATCCCCTTTGGCACCAACAACATAAGGAATTTAATGAACAGAATTTCTGTCTAGGCAGGAAACCAGTACCTTCCAATCCATTGTTGCCTATCTACCACTTTTACAGAAGTAAAAAAGGAAGGTAGTGTATGTGGCAGTGTATGTGAAGTATAATGTAAAGCGTGACAGCACAAAAATATTGCAGGAAAAAAATTCAGGGCATAAATTCTATATTTTATTTTAGAAATGCAAAGTTACCAGTGCCTTGGAGGAAAGGTTCTTGAAGGACTGGAAGCAATAGTAGGGCTTGATGGTCACTTTTCAGAATGGAGAAAAGTCAGTGATGGGATACTCATGGACCATTTTTACTGAGTATCTTCATTTCCTTCTCCAAGTCAAAGATGGCCAATGAAATCACAAACTGCACAAATGACGAAGGTCTTTGGGGCAGTCAAATACTGCATGAATGGTGACAAACTCCAGAAGGACATCAAGAACTTGAGCTGACAAAAAGGTGGCTGATGAGCTGCAGTGTAGTAAAAGCAAACTATTGCCTGTACAATTCCAATTTCAAAACCGGATAATAAAATTCAGGAAAGATCTTAGAGTCATTGGGTAGCTCTGTGGAATCTTTAGAAATTGAGCATCTGCCAAAAAAAAAAAACCAATAAAAGTTGGGCATGACCAGACAGACTGTTGAGAACTAAACTGAGGATACAATTTTCTGACTTGGAATGCTGACTTTTTGGCAGTGCACAGTTCCAGTCTCTTCTCAAGACAGATACAGAGGTTTACAGCAAATACAGAGACAAGCTCAGAGCAAATCAGTAGTAATGTTTCACGAGGAAAAACTATTATGTTTGGACTCTGTGTCTTAGAGAAAAGAAGCTGAATGGGGATACCTAACTTGTCAGGTAGAGGAGGCAGAACAAACTGAGTGGACTGTACATCAACCTTGCACTGGTTAAGCCAGCACAAGATACTTCTAATGGGAGTTTAAAGTGCCTGCCAGCAACTATAAATCAACAATTGCAGTAGGTTGAAAAGGAGAAATTGATAATGAAAAGGTTCATAAATGGGTACTAAAGTGAGTAGGCAGAGGCTTACCCACTAATATCCATAATACAACTGTAGAACATGCAGAAGTACGTGGAACAGACTGCAGAAAATGGTCAGTCTTGCATACACTCCCTAAATAGCATCTCCCATTAGCTCTATCAGAGACAAGGCACTGGATTAAGTGGACTGGCAGGCCAGTTCTGATTTGTTAAATATCTCCTCCTGTAAGAATCAGTAAAAGGTTCAGGAACTGATTACACCACAAAATGAGACTAAGACTGTGCCATAAGTTTTGCTACAACACAGCTTCTAAGGGGTATGAAGAGATAGGATCTCTTGCAGACACATTTATACTATCATAAAGCTCTGTGAAATGCTTTCATTGGTAAGTTTGTTCCTTTAAGTGAACCAGTTTTAGCACAAAGCTTGGGTTTATTTTTGCAAAGCTGGCTATTTCACCATTACAGAACATACTGTATTAGTAAAGAATAGGTGCGTACCCAGTCCTAAAACAATTGATTTCTCAATTCATGAACAAACTTATTTTTCTATAATAACAAAATGTATTCGATATCTTTGGAGAGGACAGAATTTTACAAAATTACAAAGTTTAGATATTTGTTAAAATATCAGCATTATTTCAAATGTGACATTGCAGTAAGTGAATAATGTCCATGTTAGGAATGAAGTATGGCGTGGCCTAAAGTGAAAGTTAAAATTAGTTATTAAAGATTACAGTCAGCCAAGACTGACACTGCTTTTTCCATATAAAAGTGCATCTTGTTCTTAGAAAGCAGTACACTCTGCCCAAGAGTTTCTGAAAAGAGCAAATTCCATTTTGGAAGAAACTGTGAAACACATCATCAGTTTGAAGAAAAAAAAAAGCAAAAAACCACCCCAGAAATATTGCTATTTCTCAGAAAACACATTCTGAGTGTTGCTGCAGGAAAAACTGTATCCTACTGAATAAGGAAATGCCCAACACTGTACATAAGAACTGATAGCAGTAGAGTGTAATAAAGGAATAAAAAAATAAAAAATGAAAAAAAACCACAAAAGCTCCACCAACCTTCCCCGCAAAAACCCAGTGACAGCACCATGACTATTTTTAGTCCCAGCAAATATGCATGTGAAATTAAAGACTTCTTGAAATTAAATTAATTAGACAAAATACAAAAAGCAATTTTCACAGATGAGACAAACTCAAATACACTGAGACTTGTGCAATAAACCAGTATAAACTCAAACTATGGTAAGCATGTTCTTCCCAAACTACATCCATCTCTGAGAACTCATCAGCTAAAAGCAGGACACAGGGGGGCACCATGTCAAGCTAAGCCCTTCCCAACAGTAAGCCCCATTTTCTGTAACCATTTTGATTCTGTTGTTCCTGCAGCTCAAGCACTCAGTATATTCCAAATTCCTTTGTGTTCAATGCAATTGAAACTCTACAGTGATGATTCAGGTTTAAGATTTAGAGCTTAAGAAAGGCACTGAATGTCCATGGAAGGCTCCATCATTCTATTTTTGATTATTTATAAACTCTTTATTGTAAACTATCCAGGTCAGGAGTCCTAACAATCTCTGTGGGTGGCTATTTTTGCAGGGCTTATTGCCAGACAAAATATGGGTGTAATTTAACATTGCTTTTTCATTATTAATGTATGCTTCTGCTTTTCCAATATTTATTCATGCTTGCTATGGGCCAAATGCAACAAGAGACATAACTGGGTGCAAGGTACAAACCAGGTGTTTTTAGATAGAATGAAGGCTATATTTAAGAAGTGATGCATACATTTTTTCAGCACATGGTCATGAAACACAAAAAGAGGACACAGATGTTTTAGCAAATCTATCTCAGGAGAAAAAAGTAGCTTTAAAGTGCACTTTAATAAGCAGTTAATAATCAGCTGTCACATCAAAACATGAAACATGCTCAATAGCAACTACCACAAAACCCCTTCAGTTTAATGTAGTTATGGTACTTTTTCTACTACATAGTTAGACACTGCATATTGTTCCTGCAAATAGTTGAGCTGCCACTCACGTGGAATCCAATTCTGCCCTTGATTTACTACACTGGATTTAAAACAATGCATCAGTCATTCAGGTTAATTCTACCTCGCTTTATTTTAAATACAAGACAATATTTGCGCCTTAGTAACAACATAACCAAGAACATTTCCTGAGGCTGCAACATTTAGTAACATTATTTTATCATAAAGGTGTTATGGGCTAAGATCCCTCTTCACTTACTTATTCTCCGTGTTCTTAAAAAGAGGACAAAACACTATTTTCTCTTGGAATCCAATCTTAATATGCAAAGCAGTTGTTTTTTGGTATTCTTTTAATTGTTTCCTAAAGACAGGTGTCTTATGTATATGTCTGATACTTTAAGAAGCAAAGATGGAAGGTTTCTTCACTTTGCAAAACATAGATATTAAAAAAAAAAAAGAAGAAGAAGAAGAAATATTTCATTTCAAATATTTCATTTTAAAGTCTTTTTTCAGACAGGCATTTTGTAAGGGAACAGATCATTAACGATCTAACTATAGGTGAGTGAGCTCAAAATCATGTTTATCATGACAAACAAGTAAAATTACACTGCATGGCCCTTCCTACAATTGGACCACTTGATACTCACATATTTCATTTGCTGTAACCCCAAACCCATCCAAACCACTTCACTTTCTCCCCCATCTTTATACTACTTCGTGAAATAAATTGAATAATTACAGGAAAAGAGTGAGTTGCAGAATTTAACGCTGGGAAAAATGACCAAATGCAAGACACCATGTTATGCTATACTAAATTAATGATACAATATGCAGTTACCAATTATGTCAGGGCTGATCTTCTGGAAAATTTTATTTTTTTTTTTAAGACAACAGGGACACTTTAAGATCCACATTTACAAAAATAAATTGAAGCAAATCACACTTCATAAATCACCGTTCTATTGCACTAGAGCTACCACGATTCAGCATAAGGAACCTAAGAATTATTCAATGATCAAAATTTAAATTTGTCAATTTAAAGTTACATCGCATCTTTCATCATCAGTGGCTTCCTAAAACAAGCTTTTTATTCATAACTAATACTAATATCCAAACAAATGTGATAAAAAAATCAGGACCTAGAAGCAATAAACTTGTCAATTCACTGTTTACTGCTGCATTAAGACAACAGAAAGAGGCTGCTTCTTTATACAGTACATAGTAAGGTTTGGAACTCCAAGACACTAATGTGGACTCAAAAAACAACTGCAAGTCAGGTGATAAATTCACTGTAAGCTGTTAATACTATCAATTCTCACTTGGGGAAGCCCTGAATGGGTACAGAATCACCAAAATTGGAAAAGACCTCCAAGACCATCTAGTCCAACTGTCCATCTACCACCACCAATATTTCCCCACTACACCATGTCCATGGCTTAGTCTCTTTGTTTTCTCCTGATGCTCTTTCTTAGCCGCCCTCTACTGACTGCTTTCAGTGACAGAATATTCTAGAAGGTGGTTATTCAAAAAGCTAGAGTAATTTTTCATTTTGCATCTCAGTCTATTGAGTGGAGAAGCTAGGATAATTCTTGCTCCTACACACTGCAAACAGAAATGTAATAATCAAATAGCTGTAACTATTTTTGCTTCGTAAGAAAATATTTAGAGAGTTTCAAACACACTGCAAATGGAAACATGTGCTCTTGTAAAATAAAAACGTATGTTCAGAGAGGAAGATTGACTTCTCTAATGATCACCAACTTGCTGCTCAGAAAATGTCCTGAATAAATGAAAGGTGGTTTTCCATATTCCACTTTCACTGCTTTAGTTACAAGCAAGTGACCTGATACAGACAACAAGTTTTTAAGCCAAAAATCACATTCTTCAGAATAATAATGTTTAACAGCAACCACAATAGGTTTGTTTTTATTGAAATAGAGATCTCTTCTGTATCAGTGAGTCAAAGCCAATTCATCCATGACCTCTCAATAGCTAAAAATAAAAATTTTTTAAAAAATATCACCATAATGCATGCCCTGCAAGTATTAACTTTGGGATTCCAACTTACTTGTGTGACTGTCTGCTGTCACCCATTCAGTGATCTTCCTTTCTGATTATTCTTTCCCTGAGGTGGCGTAAAGCACAGAAAGCTAGTTTGGTTCTTGTATGTAGAGGGATACTCAGGAATTGGTTAAAATAGCTGATGGCAAAAATTAAAAAGGAAGGTTCTCACCAAAATAAAAATATTTGCAACATCAAGAAACTGCGACATAGTCATTGTGCTATGTGAAACCAGGAGAACCATCATGTGATGATAACAAGAAAGCTTAATGTACATTATCTGATAGTCAGTGGGAAACGTAATTTTGTTACTACTGTAACAGTCTAAGTATTAAGTGTTTTTTCATAGAGATTCACTTTTTATTCCCAGCCAGACTCTTAAATAAAAGCTTTGCAAGCAGGATATTCTACTCTATTGTATTCTGCATCTCCAGGTGTTTTTTTTTCAGGAAATTTTCTGTATTTCAGCTTTCTGCTTTTTATCTTAGGAGTGCCACCTACTATGCATAGCTGCTTTTGCAGTATTTTGCATCAGATGACTGCATTTATCAGCAAGAGTAGAGAATAATGGAAACAGAATGCATGTAAAATATAGCTTTCAGTGTTCAGGTAAATTTCTCCTTTTCATCCTCCCATCACACTTCATGTATTTCTGTCCACATATCTGCATTACATTTTTTTTTTTTTTTAAATTTCCCTGCTGCTACCAATTACTTCATCCAATCTCTTGTTTTATTTTCTTCTCTTTTTAAAAATCAAATCTACGCTTGAAAGATATACTCACTGATGTTCTGCATCACTTAATGAGCAATTCTCCTCACAATGACATATTTCGGTATCCTCTTATCTTTTCTAGAAAACATAATTTTTCTCTTCTATATCTTGCCTGTATGTAAAAGACATGGAACACAAAACTTCCTTTTCATTGCTCCACGTATTTTGCAACCCTTTCAGATCATCATTTTTCAGAATTAGGCCATAAAAACACAAGTCATTTGTAAAACTGCACTCTGTTATTTTTCTTCTTCCTAATTCCCCACCTTTTCAGCCTTTAGAAGGAAAAAAAAAAGAAAAAAAGCAAGAGTGACTCAATTGTTCCAAGTAACGCTCAAAGATACTGATGGGATGAAACACACTGAATTTAATTAATGTATTTGTACAACAATGTCACATAAGCTTTATGATCTGTGGCACAAACCTAATATGCATGTTGATGCAGACAAATCCTACTCCTTTGAAAAGGAAGAAACATCTCAAAAAAGGACATGTAATAAACTTTTACATATTCCTTCCCCAATTCAGATGCAAAAAATCTAAAGGGGAAGTAACAGCAAAACATACTTAAACAACTCATTACTTGAAATGCACATCCTAAGACTACATATCAAGCTTTAAATTCTGACAGCAACAGGTCTAGACATTATTCATACCAAGATTTAAAATCTTGACTCTGTATCCGGACACCAAAATCTTGCACTTGAGCACTACAGCAATAACATAACGCCTGAATTTCTGGCCACTCAGATTTGGAAGTCAGCCCAGTTTCCATACTGAAAGTCTGTACTTGCTTGACTTACCCTTCCATGATGTGCTTCATTTGTTATATAGCTGATTAATTAAAATACATACAATTAAAACATCTAGAATTGAATCTGATTTAGTAATTTTGAAGTAGAAAGAAAAAGCTAAATGAATTTTAAAAATAGTTAGTATGGCACATAACATCTATCTTTAGTACTAGTTCACAGATTAAAACTATAGATTTATTTTTTTAAGTAAACAGAAAAGAAATATATTTTTAAGAAAGTACCTTTAGATTTTTTACTGGAGCTTCTTTTGCTTCTTGGACTTCTTTTTCCACCTGGCTGTTTTTCTGTGATAGGCTTTTCCTCCAGCTGAGGGTCCATATGGACATTCACAGATCTCCTCTCAGTCTCACTTTCCTTACAGCCTGGGGTACAGTCTCCACTGTCCATATTCTCATTATTATTGATGCTGTCCTGCTCACCTTCATCCTGTCTTCCCATAGCAATTCTACTACTGGTCAAAACTTCATTCCCATCGTTGTCAAGTTGATTTTCATTTTCGTCAGCTGAAGAAACCAAATGAGAGGTCAAACATTCAACCCTATAGTCAGCAGGAAGACTGTCCTTTGAGTCTATTTGTAGATCATTTGGTGGAAATTCTCTGTCGTCCATCAGAGCGTTACTTGTTGAACCACTTAATCCCCTTCCAGATATTTTTAGACCTAAAATACAAAACCAGAAGAAGCATTTATAAATGCTACTATAATTAAGCTCATGCTTAATTCCAGTCAATAAAGAATCACATTAGCAAAGTGATATAGTTTAAAGGTATGGGGAAATTCTTTCAAACAGCAACCCATTGCCCTGCTGGAAGTTTTGTAAAGCAAAGCTGACTACACACAACAATGATCTATAAATTTGTATTTTCATGCAATTATTATTGGTTCCAGTTACGTGACTAATAGCATAGCTGATCTTCACAGCAGTGCTCGGTTTATAACTGAAGTAACAAAAAACCAAAAAGATAAACAAAAAGTATCTCCTCCACTTAAATCCATGGGCAAAATAAAAACATTCTTATTGCATAAGATCACGGTTTGTCTGAAATAAAAATAAACCAGGAAGAAACAAAAGCCAAATAATTTTCATTTCTGTCACTCATGGCACCACACCAAACATGTAGATAGGTTAATTCTTTTACAAGATCTAGATGCAAATAGAATCTGTTTATTGACTCAGATTGTCAGTTTATTTTCAAGAGAACATTCAATGTGTCTTCAGTATACACACAAGCAGATGGTTTGCTAATAAAAAAAAAAAAAATAATAATCCACCACCTACTCTCAACAGGGGTCAATTTTCCCTTTTAGTGAACATGCAGCTCCAATCAATGCTGCAATTAAGCACACAGTTACAAGAAAAAAGCATAACCCTCAGTAGCAGAGTTATGTGATACTTACAGAGGACTTTATTATTTGGTTTCCTCAGCTTTTAGAAGCATAGAAATACTGTTGGTTTTACTTAGCAATCTTATAGATGAAATGCAGCTCTGTTACATACAGCTCATTAGATTTATCTCAAATATTTTAAAAATTAAAGCAAAAAAATGGCTAGCACTGTTGTAGCATGGAAGAGCTTTGACAAGGTTCATAAGTTAGATTCCTAACCTTTCCTTCAAAGGAAAAAGCATTTTAGGAAAACTGTTTCACCGAATTCTTAGATATTGTGTTCTGGAATATACAACTGGAATAACTAAAATGCACATTTACTAAATATGCAATATATTGTTTCATTTTATTTGCTAGAAGAATTCAAATTGCAGAATAAAAATGAAAAAATGCCAGGGAGAATAAATAAGTATTCCTCTGTAACCTTTGTAGTCGCTTATAAGACTACAAAAAGAAAACATCATTCTCATCTTAGAGAAGACAAGGAGAAGGATCCAGCTACAGGCTGCTCAACCTCCCTCAGTCCCTGTAAGATGATGTAGAAGGTAATCCCAGAAATCGTTTTCAAAGCACAAGAAACAAAATCATTTTCTTGTAGCACAAGAAGGTCAAAAAGAGTATTCAGCATGGGCTTGAGATGGATAAATGGCACTTAATCAACTTGACAGTCTTCTGTAATAATGTGACCAGTTCAGTAGATAAGTGGATACCATTTGCCTTGACTCTGGAAAGGCTTCTGACACTTTCTCCCCTAACATCCTTATAGACACAAATACAAAAAACAGGCTAGATAGTCAGTGAGGTGAACTGAAAACTGGCTGAATGTCTGAGCACAGAGCACTGTAATCAGGCAAATGAAGTCCTGTTGCAGGCCAGTGACCAGTGCACACCCAGGAGCTATGAGCCAAGTCAGTACTGTTTACCCCTTCATTAATGACCAGGGTTATAAGAAAGTCAATCTACAGTAAGTTTGATGATGATACAGTGGGAGTTGTGCTGCTATTCACAAAGACCTCAACAGGCTGAAAACAGATGGGATGATGGGAACTTAATGAAGTTCTACAAGGGAAAATGCAAAGTCCTGCATGTGGGAAGGAATAACCCATGCACTAGTACAGACTGAGGGTCACTCAGATGGAAAGTAGCCTGCAAAAATGGCCTCGAGGTCCCTGCAGGCAGCAGTTGATCACCAGCCAGCAAGAAGCCTTTATGGAAAAGATGCCAGCAGCATCTTGGGCTGCATTATGATAAGCAAGTCAAGGGAGGTGATCGTTCCTCTCTACTCAGCACTCGTGAGATACATCTTACTGGGTCCAGTCCTAAGCTCGCCTTTAGCAGAAAAATATGGACATACTGAAGCAGCTCCAGGGCCAAAGAGAGGATTAAGAGTCTGAAGCATCTGTCAGAGGAGGTGAGGCTGAGAGAGCTGTAATTGTTCAGCCTGCAAAGGCTCAGAGAGAATTTATCAACATATATAAATATAAAATGAGGAAGTAAAGGAGATGCGTCAGACTCTTCTCAGAGTCTCTCTCTTTCTCAGAGAAAGGAGAAGAGGCAATTAACACAAGCTAAATGTAGGAAACACTAAACATAAAAATTAGTTTCACTAGTAAGGGTGATTGAACACTGTACCCAGAAGAGGTTGTGGAGTAGCCATCCTTGGAGATATTCAAAACCAAATTGGACAGAGTCCTAACCAATCCATTCCTCTTTCTTCACTACATCAAGTACTCTGTCCCTCTGTGACTGCCCTCTACACTTGTCCTGACAAATTTGTTAGTATTCCTGAGTTTATTTCTAAAACACTTCCTTCTTAACACAACATAATTTTGTTGCGATAACAGCTGCCAGGAAGTGTGCTAAAATAACTTTTAGTAGTCAACCCCTTATTAGCAGAAGTTTACTTCTCCACTCAGGTATTCTTGGGTCACTCCATCAAATACCGTTCTACTGGTTCAACAGGAGTGGCAAGACATGGGCAGCTACACCTGCCCTTAGATAATACTTCAACCAGCACATGCTCTGTGAAGGTTAGGAATTGGAATGACTGTGTGCCAGGTGCCCATGGTGTTTTCAGAAGGAATGATCTAAGAGTCCCTTGTAAGCACACAGAGGCTGATGAGCCACCAGCAGCTGGGCAATGCAAAAGCAAAGTCAGTACAACTCATTTACTGCTTCCAACCTGAAAAGCTTGTTAGCCATTTCCAGCCATACCTGTCCAACAAAAATTACTGACTTCCCTACAACATATGTGCATCTTAAAAAAAAAAAAAAAAGCAACAAAACTCAGTCTACAAGATTAATGAATTGTACACTGAAGTGGGAAAGATGCAAAGTTGTATTTTCCTTTGTAAAACTAACAAGAGAAATGGCTTTCCTCAAGTACCAGAAAGACAAAGGATCTCAAGAGGAGATGCCCATCTGAAGAATGTATCTGTCCATAAGAGGGATGCTTCTTATTCAAGCCCCTTTCTCTTCAAGAGTTAAACATGAAAAGAAGAGCTAAAAGGAGAACAGAACTTAACTATTCCTGTAAGAATCAGAACCAGAATATGTTTGTTATAGACTCCCACACAAAAGTAACATTTATTGATGATAACTGTTCTAAAACATTTGGGAAAAAAACAAAAAAAAGCCCAAACACCACGTTAAACTTGAAAGGTTTAATTCTTACTCTTCCTAGCACATGAAACAGTAATTATTGCTGCCCCACTCAGCTCATGGATTGAATGGTACATCAAATAAAAGAGGTTAGAGTGCACTGCCCAAAGCCAATGAGAAATTAGTTTTATCAGCAATAATTAAAAACCAGGATGTCCTGTGATGTTCTACCACTGTTTTGTATCTATCAGTAGACAACTGCTCTTCCTTTCAACAGCTATCACTGGGAAAACAGAAACATTTAAACAAGGTGTTTCCTATTAGATTGCAAAATGAGGAAAAGATGCTTTTGATAAATGACATTTTATACAGAGGAAGTTAACATTTTGATGGAAAATATTAAGTCATTTCCTTTTAACATGTGGCTAAAATGACAGTTCTCTAGCTGAGACACTGGACAGCCTTTGCAGCCAATGCAGGACAACTTTTTTTGGATTACAGTCTGAAATACAATACTATTCCAAATAAAATCAGCCTTTAAAATCTACTTATTACAACTCAGGGAAAACCTAAAAAGAGCTAGGTCAAAGAATTTAGATTAGTCCTGCTCTTGAACTTCTGAAGGAATTCCACTTTCTCCTCCTTGCTCAACACATTTCCAAGTTATTTTGCTGTTACTACAAAAATGGAATTAAACCTACTAGTTATTTGAAGTATTTTTAAAGGGCTATTAACATACAGCTACTCTATTTACTGCTTTGCCATTGAAATAAATTGTATGCAAAAACATACTAAGGAAAAAAAAAAGTTTGCTTCTTTGGTCTTTTCCAACCTTGGTGATTCTATGATTCCCAAGTACGTACTTCCTCCCCTTACTGTCTGTCCAGAATTGACTGGAAAGCTGCCTGATGGAAAGGGACCTTGGTGTACTGATGGACAGTCGGCTGAATATGAGCCAGCAGTGTGCCCAGGTGGCCAAGAAGGCCAAAGGCATCCTGGCTTGTATCAGGAATGGTGTGGTGAGCAGGACTAGGGAAGTCATCCTGTCCCTATATTCGGCACTGGTGAGGCCTCACCTTGAGTACTGTGTTCAGTTTTTGGCACCTCAGTACAGAAAGGACATTGAGGTTCTGAAGCAGGTCCAAAGAAGGGCAACAAGGCTGGTGAAGGGCTTGGAAAATATGCCCTATGAGGAGAGACTGAAGGAACTGGGGCTGTTTACCCTGGAAAAGAGGAGGCTGAGGAGAGACCTTATTACTCTTTTTCAATATCTGAAAGGTGCTTATAGAGAGTGGGGTTGGTCTCTTCTCACTGGTGACAGGATGAGGGGAAATGGCCTCAAGTTGTGCCAGGGAAGTTTAGATTGGATATCAGGAAAAACTTCTTTACAGAAAGGGTTGTTAAGCACTGGAATGGGCTCCCCAGGGAGGTGGTTGAGTCACCATCCCTGGATGTGTTTAAAAACCATTTGGATGTGGTGCTCAGGGACATGATTTAGTGGAGGGTTGTTAGAGTTAGTTAGGGTAGTATGGTTAGATTGTGGTTGGACCTGATGATCATTAAAGTCTTTTCCAACCTGAGCCATTCTATGATTCTATGACATAGAAGCTAACAAGGTAGAATCACGCTGACCTCAAATAAAAAGAGAGGATGAATGAAAGTGCTTCATTTCA